CCTGTTCACTGAAAGCATGCCGCTCTCTCGCCGAATTACACATGTGAAGCGACTGAGTCTGGCTGCTCCTACTTCCTCTACCGCAATGTGTTTGCGTATTTCATTTTCTGGGTGGGTACTCAGTCTGAAGCACTGCCCCCACTGACCGTGTGGCGTGTGTGTGCGAGGGATAACACTGAGAAATGCTCACTTTTCACGCTGATCCTACTGATGCAGGATCAGCAGGTTTTTGTTGACGCTGATAGCTGTCACTACAGAGGTTTCTAGACTCCTGCCTGTGGAGGTGTGAAGCATTGTCTTGGTGAGACTGAGTGGGTCACTGGGTGCACCCATCTAAATGTGAGCTTTTTCCAGGTAAAAAGCCTGTTTTGGTTATCTTTTCCACTGTCAGGCTGGAAAGATATAACAGTTGGAACCTTAAGGAAGCATGCAAGCAGCTTGCAGGTAGAATATTTAATATATCTGAAACAGAAAACAGAGCATCTGAGCACCAGCGCTTCCAGATTGGATCAAAATAACTGTATATTACTTTAAAATTAAAGTGTTTTCTGTACCATGTGATCATTTTGAGTCCTCAGCAGGATGTGAGTAATGCTTCTCTGCTGTGACATCACAGATGGTACCATCAGGACAAACTATTTTCTCTCTTCCCAGGGTGCAGTTTATGGATGTGGGTTTTTTTTGTTTTTTTGGTCTTTTTTTTTATAATGTGATGAATCTTTTCAAGGGCGTGAGGATTTTTTTTTAAGTTTATTTTTGTATTTTCCAGTGTTTTGGGTGTATTTTCTTGTCACAAGGGTGAGTGTTACAAACTAGAGCTAAACACTGACGTGGCTAGATATTAAAAGACAAACACAGCAGAAAGTGTGAGAAAGCAGGTTTGGGAACGTGTTTCATTCGGCAGTGTAGATGACTGGTTATCAGTGACTGTGGGTGTCGGGAGAGAGCAGATCACAGGGAACAACCATATATGATCACAAAACGCCAAACACTTAAACATGCTGACGTGGACTAAAAAGTCAAATTAAACCCAGGGATGTTTAATGATATGTTTAGCTGGATCATGGAAGTGCTGAAAATGTGAACAACCTGTCCCTTTAAGAGAAAAGGCTGACACCCTTCCTCCATTTCAAAAATTCAATTCTTAAAATGTGAATAAATTGGCACAAGATAAACGTGTTTCTACTCAAAATTCCTCCAGTAATCTCACCCCACAGCATGTGAAACATGCCATATATTGTGTCATCACAGCTAAGGCACAGTTTTAAGGATGGGCCCAAAAATTCAACAAAATCTCCTTTTAGTTTCCATAAAAAGAAAACAATAAAATTAATGCATAGTCTATTTATTTCATCATCTCACAAACACACACACACACACACACAGCCAAGAGGTAATAAAACTTGCAATGAGAGTATGTTACAGATCATTATGTGGAACAGTACAGCAATACACTACACATGCAAATATTTAAGAGCTAAGAAGAAGAAATCTGGCTTTTTTCCCCTTTACAGTACCAATCAATCTCTGCACGGGGAAGAGGGGGAAAAAATCCTTGAAAAAGCCAACTGTGCCCATAAATAATGAAAAACACGACTCCGAGGAATGTTTGATTTGATCCAGTCCGTCAGGATTTAAAGCTGAAAGTACAAAAAGCCATAAAAAATAGACACAGCAGTGTACCTGTCAGTTTTGTACAGTATTTAGCGCAATAAATTTTAAAAGAAATTTGTTGAATAAGTTACATTTTTTAAAGTGCTTGATTGACTTACAAGGTGTAACTGGCAGTATAACATATGGCTTAAAATGATATTAAATTGTCCTTACATATCCACACGCATACAGCCCATTTTCATCAGTTAATAAAGAAAGAACAATTGTCAAAATATTATCACTCCGAAGAGAAAGAGACAGCTGTCCTGCAGGGGAAAAAGGCCAGTCTTCTCTGTGTGGAATATTCCAGACTGTCAGCGGCAGCGCTGAACGGGCACAACCCACTCGGGAAGCTTTTTTTTTTAACAACAGAAAAAAGAAAAAGAAAAGGCCTATAAGTAACCAAATGGGTGTCGATTTAATCGCAAATCCATCTCTAAAGTAATGTCGATTTTCACTTTTATGTTGTTTGTTTTAAACATATCCATAAAACCCTCTACATGCCGTAACCGTGGGCTGGCTGTGAGCAAGGACAAGCTTAACATAGAGAGAGGGGGGAGGGTATTGAAGCCCTGTGACCTGAATGCGCGCGCCCGGCAGCTTAGGGCCGGCAGTTGATAACAAGAAAAACAGGCCTCTGACACGCACACTGACACACAGAGCAAGACTGCACCATTTAACTAAAGAGGTGTATCTAGAGACCCCCCGCGCCCCCCTTCCATTTTACGTACGTGAATAAAGACCCTCCCCTTCTGTATATTTAACTCCTTCACCGAAAAAAAGAGGTTCATATCTTGTTTGTCTAATCTGGTAAAGCAGCCGTTGATCCGCTGGACTTTGAAGCGAGAGATCACGCGCACGCTGCGTGCTATTTTCGCCTAGATACCAAACAACAGAGCTGCCGCTGCAGTGGATTCTTCGTGACCTTATATGGCAACGGTGTGTAGGAGGGGGAGGGGGTTCCAACGAATGCGCTCGAGCTCTCGGCGCGAGTCAGCCTAGCAACCGACCGCCTGACTACGCCGGTTTTATGAAAGTTTCCTTCCTCACACGCAGTTGTCGTCTTTTCTTCTCTTTTTATATTCGTGTAAAAGCAGCCACCATTTTGGATTAAATAAATAAAAAATAAATCACCCCCCAGTGGCGCTTATTGTGGTTACTTCCAGTTGAAATTACCCTCGGATTAAAAAAAAAACAAAAAAAAAACCGCTCTCCTGAGCCTCACCCAGTTATGGCGCAGCAGCTTTTTCACGGCACAGTGCTCTCCTTTGTCTGTAAAGAAGCCATTTTGAGACAGAGAACAGCAGAGAAAACCACAGAACAAGTGTTGCCTACATAGCACTAAAAAGGTCTCTGTTTGGAGAGGGGGAAGAAGCAGTTTAAAAAACACAAGATTTCTTCCCATAAGATTCTTTTTTTGGTGGCTCGTTTAAGACTTGGATTACATGTTTTGAATACTGCCTGTAAGTTTGCAATATCATTAAAAATGTGGGTTACAGTTACTCATTTTTCCCTTTTTTAACAATTACGCTGACGTCGTTTTGTATCAACTGCTTCTTTGATGTCTGCTCTCTTATGAGACTATTTAATGTAGACACATAAAGCTGGCAAATTGAGTGAAATAGCTCAAAAATCCATTACCTGTCCAAAACATTATCCTTGCAGTTTTAAGTGAAGTGTAGATCAGCTAGAAATGTCGAAAAAAAGCAAGAGAGGCTATTATCGACTGCAATCCTGTCTTCAGGGAGAGAGAAGAGATGGTTTTGCATATTGCCCACACAGATGATGCTTGAAGATGCATATTCGCTGGCTGAGAGAGGCAAAGCTACCACTGATCAAAAAAAAGTTATCAAAAGAGCTCTATCTTTTCGTGCTAATGGATTCCTTCCTTTTCAGGAGACGCATTCCCACCCCTTATTAATGCCATTATTAGAGGATCCGAAGATGGAGCTGAAAACATTCCTCCTGCCCCTGCGTTTAGGCCTGTTAACTGCTGAGGTAAATATTTTCAGCCTGAAAGTTTTCCCTCCATCTCTTTAATCTGAGGTTGTGTTTTTAAAAGGAAAAAAAATCGCTGTAGAAGCTGGAAAAAAAATTAAATAATTAAAAATGGTGGTGGTGATGGGGGACTTCCTAAGTGGACTTCTTTCTAAATTTAAATTATGCCCTTGAAGTAAGGTCAAGTCGACAATTGCACATTTGGCTTTCTTAGTTGGACAGCACAAACCTAGTCGATTCAAGCTGTCTCCACAGTTGCAGTACAGGACACAACAGGAGACACCAGGGTGTTTAAAGCGTTGCTGTTGTGAGAGGAAAAGTGGGAGACGTTGTTAATCAGAGCAAATGGATTATCAGTCAACAAACTATTTAACAAGCGGCCATTAGGTCTCCGTGGCCTGCTTTCAGTCATTTGAGGAGCACTGATGTTACAAACCCTGCACCTCTAGCCTTGTATGTTTTAATGTCAGCATGCCAGTGGACATATTTTTTAAACAATAAAGCTGCAGCATTTTTATGTGATCACATAGCTCAAGTAGACAAAAGTGACAGACATACTTTTAATAACATTAACTGCATGCCTCACATTTTACATTAATTTGTTAAATTTAAAAATAAATTATGATAAAAGACTTGAACTTACTCATTGCAACTCATATCCTACAAGGCCATAAGTGCAATGCCAGCAAGCTGCCATTGCACATTTTGTCACTTTGTGTTTTTCCCCCACCCCAACCTCTATCATTTTAAACATCTCCAAAAGCATAAAGCTGTTTATTCACAACACTTTTGGTTTCTTTTCACTTAAGAAATATAAATGCTGTTATATGGGTGTGCCATGACCTAGTTAAGACAAAGATGGATTCCAAGGTAGAGGAAAAAAGGCTCAAAATGTCACGGGGTAATTGCATCCAGCACATTCTCTTCCTTCTTCTCAATCCTTTAAAAGGAGCAATCATAGTTTTATCATAGTCCGTGAGAGATGAGGAAATCAAATGTAAGATCCCTTTGGAACAAAGGAAACCCATATAGGCCATTGAGTCCTGTTTAAGGAAAATGGCTGCCGAGAGCGCTCAGCCCCCTCTCTCTGCTCTCTGTTGAAGGACTCCTGAGCCGTGCCTCTAATAGCAGACGGCTCCTCTGCTGCTGCGCTCTGATTGGCTCGTTGAGCTACTGCTGTTAACCAGCCAATTGCCCGAGCACTGCAAACAGCACCAGGCAATGTCAAACAAAACCCAGTTAGTCCGATAGCAACGCACCTCCACTGAAATAATTTACAAACTAAGAGAAGCACAGTCAGGTTCAGTATTATATAAATAAAAGCGCCACCGTTTTTTAAAAAAAAAATGCTAGCATAACATTAATAATTTTTAAAAAGAGGACAAATGGGGAACATAGGCGACGGATTGGCACTAGTCTGTTGCTGTAACCAAACAAACCGCCGCGTTCCAACGGTTATATAGCCGGGTAGCGAAATCGAGCTGCCAGACATGCGAGTGTTCGTATTAAAATTCCAATTCCCGTGTTTGACATTTTTATATTAGCCGCCATCACCTATTGCCGTGTCGCCGTAATGACTCTTTTACCCTAACATATCAACCGACATGTCCTGAATGTACAAACGCCCGCAAGACCGCATAGAAAAGCTCGCCACCAAAGCAGTTTTATTAGCCCTTTAGTGGCAGTTAAGAAGATATTACCCCCTGTGTCTGTCTTGTGTTTGCCAGTTAGGTAAATACAGCCGGTAGATTCAACACTATGTCGTTTAGAGGATTTGTGAGACACTAAACTATCGCCAGACCTCATTTAGTCGCGGATATAAATGGGAGCGTTTCTGCGTGGCCTGCCTAAAAACACGTTTATTTTATTGTTAGGCTAATGCAGCGTTAAATAAGCTGCGGCCATGGAGGCAAGTTTGTAACGAAAGTGCCGTTGGAGGTGGGCAAGCCTAGCGGTGTATTGTGGGAGAGACAAGCAGCTACAGACCAGAGGCACACAATATGTGTTGGCTCTCGCCGAAAAGGAGGCAGTATTCTTTAAGCTAAATCATGTAATGTAAGCGGCGAAAGGAAAGCGATTTCGTCTTTTCATCAATTACAAAGAGAACAACACTCGATCGGACGAACCATGTCCAAGCCAGGGGAGAGGAACAGATTGAACGAAGACCATGGCAGAAAGCAGAGTTCAAGTAAGCTTGTTCTTTTTTCCTCTTTCTCCAGCCCTCCTAATGCCTGTTTTCCGTAAGTGGGATATACACTAGATCCCATTTTTCGCTCTCGCTTGGGGTTACCCCCGCCACCGAAGTCATGCATCTGTAACGTTTGGCTGTTTTAAAGTGTTGGAAGGGGTGGAAAGGGGGGAGGTTTTGCTGGTAGGAGAACCGTGCTTAGCGCTTGGCTCCCGATAACGTTAGCTCTCCTCTCCTTGTCGCTGCCTGTCGTTTCAGGTTTGGCGAACGGCATGGACAGTCATCCCGTCTGCGGCTCAGCGGAGAAGCGGAGTCACCACTGGAGAAGTTACAAGTTGATAATCGACCCGGCGCTTAAGAAGGGATCTCACAAACTGTATCGCTACGATGGACAGACTTTCAGCATGCCCGTAAGTGCCGCATTTGACGCGGCGGAGCGGCTACAATAGTAACCGAGTAGCCGACCTCCATGATAGGTTACAATGTGGCTGTGCTGGCCGTGGGTTTGTCACGGGCACGTTCAGCATCTTGAACACGGTGCCCGGAGGTGTTCGTGTTGATTCACCGACGCAGGACAACTTTGCAACAAGTTAGTAGCGTGTGGAGCTGTGAATGGATAACGGCATTGTGTGTGTGTCTCCCCCCTCTTCTCCCACAGAACCCCGGGATACCACCGGTGGACATCGTCCGAGACCCCAGGATCGGTCGTCTGTGGACTAAGTACAAAGAGACGGACCTGCCGGTGCCAAAATTTAAGGTATCCACTCTGGCTTGAAGATCGATGCCACACTTTTCCTTGCGGATACGGGGTGCTGTCAAAAGTTGCAGACACACCCCCCTCTCACTCATCTCCGGGATGCGAAGTGAAAATGTGCCTGTCGGGGACCAAAATAATACGCTCTGCTCTGATGCATGTCTGCTTTTACGGACTCGACCGAGTGCATCAACGCGATCTTTGAAACTTCTCCTAGCAGTTGTTATCTCAGCTGTCAGAAATGACCCTCCACACACGCGGTGCAACATTAACTCCTGTCATTCTTCTTCCAGATCGATGAGTGTTACATCGGCCCCGTGCCTCCAAAGGAGGTGACTTTCGCCAGGCTCAACGACAATATCAGGGAAGGATTTCTTACCGACATGTGCAAAAAATTCGGAGAAATCGAGGAGGTCGAGATCCTGTACAATCCGAAGAACAAAAAGCACCTGGGGATAGCCAAAGTTGTTTTCGAGAGCGTGAAAGCCGCCAAAGTGGCCGTGCAGTCGCTTCACAACACGTCTGTTATGGGAAACATCATCCACGTGGAGCTGGACCCGAAAGGTAAACAAGAGCTTAAGTTTGCTTAAAAAAAATCAGAATCATATGTGTTATAAGAGTCGGGAGCACAGAAATATGACAAGCCGAGTGTTACCTTTAGAGTGACAGCGTTCACGTGTGCATATTTACGTGCGTTGCCTGGTTACATGGATAATTGAATTCATTCATTGAATATAAGCCTGCTCCCATAAGCCCAGAGCTGACGGTGCTGTGCACTCCCACTGTGCATAATTTCAGACCTGCAAACAAACACAAGCCAATCTGTCCGAGTCCTCTGTACTTTAAATTGTTTGCATTTAACTTAAAACTAAGAAAAGAAGTTAGTTTTTCTGTTGTTAACACTGTTTGAATTCCAAGTCCATGCATGTTCTGTCTTGTTATTTTTTTTACTGATGCAAAACTGCAGCTTGAACGCATCGTAACATACCACTTTAGCAGTTTTGCTTATTATTTAATGTTATAAATACTGGCAAATATTTTGATTCACAGCTTGCACTGTTTTCATTGTCCGTAGTAATGTCTTTATGTTAAAGTATTACCCCAAATTGATGGATTTTTTTCCCCTAAGTGTGATTGATGTCTTTTTAAGAAGTGCAGTTAGGGTTTGCTTTTTTGATCAATATGCTAAAGGAATGCATGCTTTTTTAAATTAAAATATGCTGATCAGTGATATTTATCCCAGAACATAATGATGCTTTTGCAGATACAAATAATAATGCATCATATTAGTTTGCAAACCCCCCTCCATAAGCACAAGTTGTTGCTTTAAAATGTTTAGCTTGGAGTTCAGCTACTGGAGAATAATCACTGTCACTTAAATGAAAGTCTGTTGGCTTTGCAAACCTGGCATCAGACCCAGACATGTTTACTGTTCTGCAGGTGAGAATCGCCTGAGGTACTTCCAGCTCCTGATGAATGGCAGCTACACTCCACGCACGCTGCCTGTTGGTGGAGAGGAGGCCAGGGAAGTTTCCCCTCGAAGCCTGGCAGAAGCCTTACTGGTAAAAAAACAAAAAGAAATAAAGCTTAGGTTGTGCAGTTAAGAGTAAAATAGTAATTCAGTAGTAGTTTTGTGCTAGTTTGTTGAAGGTCAATTTGGAGGAACTGTTGCACACTCTTGTGTAGATGCTTTATTGTGCTTTGTAGAAATGGTTCAAGATACACCTGAGCAGGAACTTAACTGAAAGTCAGGCAAACCTGTGGCTTTGTATCTTGAGATGTCCTCACACTGCTGTGCCACCAGCTTGCTATTTTGATTTTAAAAAATCTTACTTGCTTTAGTTGTTTGAGAAACTGATTTAAAGAATCTTCTCGAACCTAAAGATGTTCTCAAGAAAATGCCCAAATTAGAATTCGCCTCTAACAATTTCATATTTGTGTCCTCTAAGGCTTGCGAGCCCATCCGCAGGTTATCAGAGAGCAGCGTGTCTGCTGGGGGAGGAACATTGCCGCCCAGCAGTTCCTCCACCCCCCTGACCCTGGAGACCGGCTACTCCAGCCTAAGACAGGATACGCCACAATCCCAGGGAACCCCTCATACCCCGCGCCAGGCTGGTACGCCTTTCTCTCAGGACTCTAGTTATTCCAGTCGGCAGTCCACGCCTGCCTACCAATCTAGCCGTCCTGAGAGCTCCGGAGGTTACAAATCTCGCCGACACGAGAGTAAATTTCAGGATGCGTACAACCGGAGACCGGAGAGGCCTCAGTATCGCAGCAACATGTATCGAAGTACGCCTGAGCAGCCTCCTTTCAAACAGCACCAGCTCACACCACCTGAACCTCCACCTTCCACCCCTTCTTTCAACTACACAGCGCCTCCCCCCGCTACACCCAACTTCAAGTCCGCCTTCTCACCCTACCAGCCCCCTTTGCCCCCTGCGTTCCCTCCAACAGAGCCAGCTTTCCATCACCCAGCCCAAAGGGAGGGTGAATACCTCCGACCGCCAGAGCCGCCCCTGACGGCTGCTGTTGACTTTTTGCCCGCCAAGGAGCGACCAGAGACTCCTCCGATCCCGGAGCCTCCGCCACCAGAGCCCGCTCCTCATCCAACCACCCCTCCTCCTCAAACACCAGAGCACTGCCCTTCACCCGGTTCCCCCATTCTGGATCCAGAGAGGAACAGCCTGGATTCTCGCATTGAGATGCTGCTCAAGGAGAAAAGGACAAAACTGCTGCCGTTCCTGGACGAGCGGGACTCGGACAACGAGGTGCGAATGGAGGGAAGTCCGATTTCCTCCTCGTCCTCGCAGCTATCCCCGATCCCTCCTTACACAGGTGGCTCTCAAGGTGGTCAGCAAAATTCCCGTCCCTCCAGCACAGGTTTGGAGGACATCAGCCCCACGCCACTGCCGGACTCGGAAGATGAAGAGCCAATTCCCGGGACTGCCTCACTGATCAAGAGAATCAGCTCTCCTGTCCACGAGAAAGAGAAAGAAGGATCTTTTGGAGGCCACTCTCCCGCTGAGAAAATGGACACGGTAAAGCAAATATTTATTTTCTTAATTCCCTGATATTTGTGTCCAAATAGCGCCATATTTACCTCCATGCTTGTCACATTTGACAAGAAACAGCGCACAGGTGCTGCTTCAATTACCTCTCATTAATGGCACTGATTAAGTTGATGGAAGCGCGGTGCTGATGTTTACGCACAGCTGTGAATGACAGTTACACAGAGGACGCAGGAAGTCGGGTCTAGTTTCAGTGTGCGGCGGTAGTAGTAAACCTTCCCTTTTGTTTCATTCTTTTTCTTCTTCTGCTTTGTAAAGGAAATTCCGGTTTCACAGCAAACCGTGCTTTAAAAAAAAATAGGGGCCATACCAAAAAGGTGTTTGCTCCTCCAGTTTACCACTGGCATTTTTCTTTCTTTCTTTTTCTGCAAATGAAAAATGAAGAATAAAGCACCTGTAACCTTCTGAGGAAGCGTGTTTGTTCGCCTCATGTGCGCACACGCACTCCTTGTCAGGCGCAGATAAAAGAGTTGCAGCAAGTTATGAATGAAAAAGCTTTCGGTGCAGCCTTACAAATGCCTTCGCATTCATGGGAAGACAAACCACCTCTCTTTGTTTTAAAGTCGCAGTAGCACCGTCTGGCCTGTCAGGTTGCGTTTCAACGCAGCGTGCTGCGAGGAAGAATAACAGCCTCACTGCTGTTGGGGAATTGAACACTCTTGTTTCCTCTTTCTAACACTCGCAGCACACGCTCACATGGACGAAAAGCACGGTTTGGCTGTTGGCCCCTTTCAGCACGCCACATTTCCTGGTTTAGCTGAGCCTGACAGTCAGGATTGGCCGAGGCGTCTCTGTTCTCATATTTCAAGTTATCGCAAAGCAAACAGTACAAACAGGTCATTTGGGTAACAACGCCACTCCCATGCTGAGCTTTCCCTGCTCGGTTTCATTTCTGCAGCAGCTGAGACTTATGAAATAAAACAGAACAGATGAGAGTTCAGTGCTCAGATGTTTTTCAGAGTATTGCATTTGTGTTTTGCACTGCGGCGCTTTAGTTCGGTGCCTAAGCAAACATCTCGGTTTGGTAACACGCTGATCGAAGACTCGGGTCGGCTGTGTTTGACTGTGACTGAACTTTGAACTCAGACCAGGTGTAGAATCATTTGGTGCTCTTATTTTGAAGGTGCTGTGAGTCCAAGATAATATTTGGTACAGTCTGAAGTTTTCCTGTAGCACATCAGTGAGGGCAATAAAAGAGAGTTGGCACTGAATGCCTACTGAGATTTGTAGGGTTTCCTTTTTTAAATGTTGACAAATGTAACATTACAAAACCAGTGTTTTTGTTGTTGTTGTTTGTTCATTTGTTTTGTTTTTTAAAGTGGTGTATCCCAAGAAATTATCCCTTTACTATCATTATGTTTTATTCAAACATCTCAAACATTTCCACACAATGCCCAGCGCTGTTTATATTTAAGGGGCTGCCACATTTCTCAAGTCGAGGTATATTCATTTTGCTTTGGTTTGTTTTTTTTGTTTTTTTTAGTCTGATAGTTTGACCTCATTTTAAGGTCTTCATAAGAAAATAACATTTACTCAGGTGTCAGGTGGAAAAGGGCAGGTGATTGCACAGATTTGTTCAGTCCTGACAGGCTGTCCTGTCTCCACACAGGGTCAACAGTCATCGGGAGAGGATATGGAAATCTCAGACGATGAGATGCCCGGGACTCCGATCACAAGCGGAGAGTGTGGCAAAGGCATCGTCGTGAACTCTGCCGTGTCCCCGATGCAGACCATGGCCATGCATCCTTCCAGCTACCACCCCCTGTCCCACCAAGCCGGCTTTGCCATCGCGCATCACCCCCTGGCCCCTCACCTGGCCGCCCATACCGGAGTGCCTCACCCCATGCTGCCGCCCATGGGTCCCTACCCTCCAATGCCGGTGGTGCCTATGGATCTGATGAGCTGCTTCCGGTGGGAGCAGTGGAGCACGATTCCGATGTCCTTCCAGATGCAGCAGCAGATGCTGAGTCGCATGGCTCAGACCAGAGGGCCCTATCCCTATCCACATTTTATGGACAATGGCGCTTCCGGACCTTTCGGGGGACCCTATGCACCTCTTTCCATGGGTGCTACACCTGCAGGCAGCACAGGGGCACCTGGACAACAATGGCAGCATCCCAGTTTACCAAAGTTCAACCCCACCGTTCCTCCTCCTGGATATGAGACTAAAAAAGAAGATCCCCACAAGGCCACTGTTGATGGCGTGCTCCTGGTCATTGTCAAAGAGCTGAAGGCCATCATGAAGCGCGACCTGAACCGCAAAATGGTGGAGGTTGTGGCTTTTAGGGCCTTCGATGACTGGTGGGATAAGAAGGAACGTTCTGCTAAGGTAAGCTATCAAGAGCTCCAGCGGGAAAATCTGCATGTACTGACTGCTTATTGTACTAGTTTTGAATTACGATCAGTTAAATAGTGAAATAAAATTAGATCCATAGGATATGAATTAATTATACGTACCAGAGGCCACAGACTGCAGTGACATTAATGTTGGATCACGTGATGCGTTTCAAGATTATTAAGGCGAGTAATGAAAAGGCACGTTTGCAGCTGATTTTCCTGTTTGTGGTCCGGCGTGCTTACACAACGAGGAGATTTGCATTAATACGAGATATTATTTTGACAAGTGTCATAATGAATTCATCTGATGTGGTAATGCATTGTTATGAATGCAAGAACAGCTGAAGAGGTCACGCGTTTCATCTTGGAAATTAATCTTTTTTTTTTGTTTAAAATCACTTAATTCATTTGCATTTTTGTGCCTGATTGGATAAAACAAACAATCAGAGGATGAAGAAGTAATTTAAAATCCCTTTTCTTTGATCACTGAGGAAATCTGACTGAGCTACTTTTTGCTGTTCGTGGTAATGAGAAACACAGGGTTTCATTTAGTTGACGTCTTTCTTTCCAAGGCATCTTTGACTCCAGTAAAGGGCGCAGAAGGGAAAGAAGAAGAGAGACCTAAACCCAAAGAGACGATTGGTTCAAGTCTCCTTGAGAACTGGAACAAGGGTGAGGGGCTGGGCTACGAGGGTATGGGCCTAGGAATCGGGTTGCGAGGGGCCATCCGCTTACCCTCCTTCAAGGTATCATGATTTCTAAATTTTTTTACTGAACTGTAGAAGGAAGCATCATCTGCACCAGGTGTTTAAAATGGTGCATGTCGTGCTCAGGTCAAACGGAAGGACCCTCCTGAGGCCGCAGCTGCAGGCGACAACAAACGAGCCCGACCCTCCACGCCTGTGGACGACGAACTGGAGGACGAAGGTAACCCTCCACCGTTTACACTCTCACTCGGTCCTCCATGCGTGCAGTTCTCTTTCAAAACCCAATTTATCTTTTGGTAATTTTCTGTCAGACCGGGAACGAGACCCAGCTGAGCTCCCCTCAGATGATTCCAAACTGGATGGCGACGGCACGTCGGCAAAGAGACGCCACTCTCGACCGCTTGAGCTGGACAGTGAGGGAGAGGAGGAGGTGGACACCTCAGGGAAAGAAGAGTCGCTGTCTGACAGGGAGGAAGAACCTGTTAAAATGGAGGTTGCGGAGAGGCTGTCGCTTGGCAAAGTAAGTCGCCTCCAAAATGAAAGGGGGGGAAAAAGCAGCAAGTGTACAGAAATTTTGTGTGCATCATAGACCTTTTTGTTCTGATTTCTTCCAGGAGAGTGGTGACGAGGAGGGCGAAGGTGAAGATGAGGGAGACTTATCCAGTGAAAGCTCCTCTTCAGATTCATCTGATGATGGTACTTCAGATATTTGACAGAAACAGCTGGTTGGCTTTATTTATTTTAATGCGTTTCCAGTAGTTATTCATTTGTTTTTGCCTCTTTTCTTACAGAAGCTGAGAGTTCGTCTTCTTCCAAGGCCAGCTCAGACTCCTCGTCAGAAAGCTCTGACTCCTCTGGCTACGGGTTAAGCTCGGAAGAGGAAGACGACGATGAGGAAGAAAGGGAGGCAGCAGAAGATGCGGAGGTTGACGGCAAAGATGCCGCGACCTCCTCATCTACTTCATCCTCTACATCTTCATCTTCGGAGGACGAGGAGGAAGAAACAGAAGCTAAGCCTCCGAGCTCTCCTGCAGTACCGCTCTCAGAGGTCAAGGAGGAGCAGATACGCAGACCTCCTAGTCCTGAGGAGCCGTCAGCAGAGGACCTGAAGCCACCGTCACCTCAACACATCCCTGGTAAATGTTTGCTCCCATTTCTGTAGTCTAGCGTGCATCACTTCAACAAAAAGCATTTCTAATTTTTAAAATGATGCTGTCAGAGGTTAAATGAAAATTAGAGAAGGGGGAAAAAAAACTGTTTCTTGTCTTTCAGTCCAAGAGCGAGACATCAGTGACAGCCACATTCCTGCAGTGAAGTCTGAACATCAGGAGATTGTAGCAAATCTTCGGCCACCCACTCCCACAGGCGTCCTGTTTGACAGTGACCAGGAGACAAAAGCAAAAGGTAAAGCAGAGCCTGAAGATGTAGCCAGCACCCCTGGTCGATTAGCTTCCTCCCAATTAGATTCAAGCATGGGTCTCCCCAAATCGGCCTCCGCATCTGTAATGCACCTCCCTCTCCCTCCTCACCCGGCAATAGAAGGCCGATCCCTTCTCCATCCGCCTCCAGGCCCCCTGCCCGACTTCCCTCAGCGGCCCCGGCTCCCAACAGATGAGGATATCCCCCGCACGCCTGGCAGGGACCTCATGGAGCGTGCCCGAAGTCTGGGTAAATCCCAGAGCACCGACACAGTGCCCAACACACCAGGCAGTGATGCTCCGCTCACGGGCAGCAGTCTGTTGCTTAGTTCCCCTCACATCCCTGGTAGTCCTTTCTCCTACCCTGCTCAGTCCCCTGTCCTTAGCGCTGGAGTGCCCCGTACTCCAGGAAGGGACTTAACATTCGCCCCTGTCTTCCCTGACCCTGCAGCAATTAATAGGAAAGTGTCCTTGGAGAGCTTGGATGATAGACCAGTTTTTAAGGAGCCGCACATCAGCGCTGTGCCAGGCCAGGTCCTGGCAGCCGGCACAGAGCACTCAGTCAGCATCCCTGAAGATCTACCTACTGGTCTCTCTCTAGATGTCCCTGTGCCGTCCGATGTCACGCCGTTGAAGAAGAAACCTGGACGACCCAGAAGCAAAAAGCTGCCAGCGGCTTCTGCGGCTGAGGAGTCTTTGGAGCTCTCATCCGAGTCCATCCATCTGCCTGATGAAGCACATCTCGAAGCTCTCTCTGTACAGACGATCTCTGCACGGTCCCCCAAGCACTCGAGCCTGGACTTCCGGGAAGGAGAAGTGGAGCCTCAGACGGTGTTACCTGATGAAGACAACTTCCTGACCTACAAAGACGAGGCACCCACTGTGGTCTCAAAGCCGGCACGAAGGGCGCGGCGGCCCTGGGATGAGATCCTGCTGGGAAGCCTGTCTCCTGTCACCACGCCTCCACGGCCATACTTCACCCGACGCTCTGATTTTGAGGAGATGACCATCCTGTATGACATCTGGAACGAAGGCATAGACGAGGAGGACATACGGCTTCTGCAGATCACCTACGACAAGATGCTCCAGCAGGACAACGGTAACGACTGGCTCAACGACACGCTCTGGGTCAACCATCCTCATATCCTTTCATTCTCAAAAGTCGATGCTCAAGTCTCTAATTTATATCACAGAGAGAAACAACATAAAAGTTCTTATTAAAGGTTTTTTTCTTTCTTTTTTTGTAAATGAAATTGTATTGCACTGTATTTTGAACAGCAGCACCCTCTGGTGGTGAAAAAGTGGAAGTTGGCAAATTTTGAGTCCGGGTTCAAGGATTTTTCTGGCTTTCTGGAATAATTTTCAAGGTGTTTTTAGTCCCTTCCTTGACTTCCCTGCACCTACCAGCATCCCTGGAGTGAAGAAAAAGAGGCGAGATGACGGCATGAGGGATCATGCGACGGGCTGCGCGCGAAGCGAGGGATACTACAAGATCGACAAGAAGGACAAGATCAAGTACCTTCAGAGCACGCGGCTGCAGTCGGAGGAGCCGCCGGTTGACACACAGGTGGGCAGGACGTGTGGATTGTGATGGTGTGTGTAACAAAAACTTGCTGTGGGTGAACACGTTTAGCTTCTCTCTGTCTCTGCAGGGCATGAGTATTCCTGCGCAGGTCCACGCCTCAACCAGAGCTGGCTCGGAGCGGCGTTCGGAGCAGCGGCGCTTGCTGTCCTCTTTTGCGTGTGACAGCGACCTGCTCAAGTTCAACCAGCTGAAGGTAAATATTATGCAGGAGAACCCGTGCAGAGGTTGCCTTACTCTACAGTTTTTACCAGCAGACACTTTAAAATGTTATCAAACTTCCTGTGACACCCCAGTGTTTGTCTGTTTCAGTTCCGTAAGAAGAAGATCAGATTCTGCAAATCACACATCCACGATTGGGGTCTGTTCGCCATGGAGCCCATTGCTGCTGATGAAATGGTGATCGAATATGTGGGACAGAACATCAGACAGGTGAGAGGCAGACAGCTGGTTTGTGTAATGTGGGTTTTCTTTCTGCATGTATGTAAACAGTTTTTTGTTTTTAACCTACTTTTATGTGACTCACATGTGTCTGATTAACCTACAGTATAGAAATAGTGCATCATGAGGAATTTCAGTACCACTGAAAGTAACCTTTCCTCAGGTTAGTCCAGGTAACCAACAATTGTGACTTGACAGAAGCCAGAGGTTTAGGTTGTTAAGCTCTTCACCAGTGGTTCTAAGGAGTGAAGCTGTTAATATGTTCCCGGGGTGTCAGCAGATATCTGCAGTATTAACATACCATCTAATGATTGACGTTCTTGTCTGGCAGGTGATCGCGGACATGAGGGAGAAACGCTATGAAGAAGAGGGCATCGGCAGCAGCTACATGTTCCGTGTCGACCACGACACCATCATAGACGCCACGAAGTGTGGCAACTTTGCTCGTTTCATCAACCACAGCTGCAATGTAAGGCAACATCTGCATGGGGAAAAAGGTTTAGCAGCATGAATATAAAAAAGAAAATTTGTTCTTATGCCCTTCTTTTTTTCCCCCCCCTCTCCTCCCTCTTGCAGCCTAACTGTTATGCGAAGGTCATCACTGTGGAGTCTCAAAAGAAGATCGTGATCTACTCCAGACAGCCAATCAACGTTAACGAGGAGATCACGTACGACTACAAGTTCCCCATCGAGGACGAGAAGATCCCCTGTTTGTGTGGGGCAGAGAACTGCCGGGGAACGCTGAATTAACGTCAAGTCGAGGTCAGAAAGAAAGGTCTCCCCCAGCTTCTCTCTAAGCTCGCCCCAAACTCGGCGCAAACTCCGTGCTTGAAATCTCGGATCAGGAGGAACTGAAGAAGGAACGCTTGTTTGGGAGTGAGGAGAAGAAAACCGGCAAGTCACCCGGACAGAGTTCAGCTACCTGTCTGGCCCTCACATATTTAACTCTAGATTGTTTACGAATTATGGTGCTCTTAACATACAAATTTAAAAAAAAAAAAAAAAATGAAGAAGAAGAAAACTTCTAGTTTTTTATGTGCAAACACTTGACTTGCGGGTGCAGCGTTTCCTCCCCTCCTCTCAACATCGGACAGTATTTCAGCTTCTACGCCTGGCTCGTACAAGTTTTACACCTTTTGTTTTTTTCTTCTTCCTTTTTTCTCATTTGTCTCATAAGCTTTACCCACACCACACGTGGTACATAGAAACAACACAGACTCTCATGTTCAGCTGCTCACTAACACTGTTAAGACGCACAAGCCCACCAGGTAAACGCCACCCTCTTCCCCACTTGTGGGAAGAGAGGCGGATGGCAGACGGTGCCGTTTCCACGTGGGTGGTTTTCCTGGACGTGAATCAAACTAATGAAACAAAAGGAAAAAAAATCAAGCTTACCATTGCAAAATCTGGAATATCCAACCATCTCCTGCTCTCACCAGCCAGCGACGGATCATGCTGCTTCCTCTTAGTTTATGCAAAAAAATGCTAATTAAGATGTTCAAACTTTGTATTGATGATATTCCAGTGTTTTGCGGTTTCGTTTAGGTTCTCTTCTTACTTCAAAGACACTATATTCGTGTGTGAATGTGTTCGTTATCGTGTCCGGATAGAGCGCGAGACTGTGAGTTCACTGACCCCCCCCCCCTTCTTTCGTGGGCCGCAGCATGGAAAAAGCCAACCAATCATGCAGAGCAAGAAAGACTAAAGATTAATCAAGTCCTGTCTACTTCCAGAGCAAGTGAAGGTACAAGTTTTCAGCTGTGGAGAGAGTAGTTAGTTCTCATTTTAAGTGCCATATGAATGCGTTACTGTCTTTGTTTAACCCGAGGAATCCAGAGATGCGTTAACATGGATGTGCACAGAAATGCTTCCTGTTTTTGGCTGATGGAGGATTTTTCTTTTCCTTTTTCTGTCTGGGTTCACCGTCTCGTGTTTGTGTGCTCACAGATCTCTGTCCTCGTTATACTACCAGTGTTTAATGTTCCCCGCGAGGCAGAAGAGAGCCGATTCTTTCTTTATAAACTCATCGCAATGAAAAAGACAAACTTGTGAATGCACTCGGGGCTCGCACTTATGCGTCCCCCCCCCCCTTTTTCACCCACTCAGTCCTCCCGCTAAGACCAAGTCTAACATTTTGCTTTTCATTCAGTTAAATTGAAAATGGAGATTTTTTTTTTCCACCAGTGATGTTCATATTGTAAATGATGACTTGTACAGAAGATCTAATGCTTTTTTTATATACATCTTCACAACTTTTAAAATGCATCTTTCTCTCTCTCTGTTTTTCACAAAAGACTGAGTATTTAAAAAGACAAACAAGCGTATTTTCAGGGATCTGTAAAAGAAATCTGATGGTTTAAAAGGTTGTTTATTTAAAGAAAAAAAAAAGGTCCACTGTGTACAGGACGAGTCTCCACCTCCCTTTGGAAAGATTGTTTCTTGTAGAAACGTCTTCATTTTTCTGCTCATTTGCTTTGTAATCCTATGTGTAAATAGTGTAACTGTGAATACTATATAAATAAATATATATATATATATAAATATATATATATTTTTGTTCCCTGGGATTTGCTACATAAACACGGCTCAGACATCTATCAGAATTAGATGAGCTGGTAGCAGGAAATTCAGCTTGTGTCAAGCTTTGGGGTTGTTTTTTTTGTTTTTTTAAATTTTCTGTTGTAAATTCTATGAAAAGTTTGCGGTGTGGAGAAAAGAAAGGTGCAGAATCGGCATGAGAAGAGGACTGATGTGTCAGCCTGTTTCTCCTGTCTATTTATTATACAACAAATGTATGAAAAAGGAAGAAAAAATGGAAATAAAGCATTTTTGCATACATCCATAAACGCTGGTGGTTTGTTATTCCTGAGGCTGCACGATGTGAGATAGAAATACGACTGATGGAATGAAGATCGTCCTGCTGATGCAGGCAGCAGCTGATCAATCAGCTGCCACATCAATCATGCGACTCAGTGCAGGTTTCATAATGCTACAGGTGGGGGGATTCTGCTTACGCTCATCATGCGCTCCACTGCTACTGTCGAGCCACTTTCAACTCCCAAATTCTTGAATGCTCCTATGAACGTATTACTGATGATTTGAACAATATTCACATTTTCAAACTCCGATGGACTGATGACCTCCCAGGCTGTACCACATAACCCTGAATTTGCTGGATCTTTGGATGGATGGATTGCAGAGAGGAGCCGAATTGTTTATGGGAGAGGTTTGTTAAATTTCACGTGACCATAGATGATTCAACCTGACTCTAAAACAATTCAAATGAAAACTGTCAACATGCTGACTTTCTCTCTCGCTATATACACAAACATGAATGCAAAGAGACTTTTAGTCCAAACCAGGTCTTGCGTCAGTTCACTGAGGGGTCAGTCACAATTCTCCATGAGCAAATGGCAAGTCAACATACATGCATGGGACTTGTGGCCTGAGGGTTAGAGGTAGAGGGTGCCCTTTCATCCATGACTGCTCCAACAGATCTGACTGTGGCTGACAGCGAGTACAGCACCCTGGCAGAAGAAGCATTGTGGTGAAGCTCATCTAAATAAACCCCAGAAAAGGCATTAGATTTTTTTTCCAAGACTTTTTTTTTTTTTTTAATAAAACATTCACCAAACCAACGAGTTGTCAAAGCAAGACTCCAACTACTTTGATTCAGTGCTCCAACCCTCCTCTCTGTAGTTGGGATTAATAATGTGTTTGATCAGTGAATTTAGAAGCTTTTGTGTTTATCTGCAGTGAAAATCTGCAGAAGCCTGGATTCACATTCACACAGTCCCCAGGGAGACAGAAAAGGCTCACAGTGTGGTCTCCCTGTGTGCGCGCGCCGCCCTAAGGCCGTGACAGGAGGAGGATGGTGTGACCACAAGCGGGGAGGCTGGGCTCAGAGAGCGAGCTTAGACAGCATGGGAGCCCAAGTCGCACTCGTCGCCATCTGCTTAGCGAAATCAAACACAGGATCTGATTGGTTGGTCGTTGTCGCTCCAACTGTGCTGTCTTGCTTTGCCGGTCATCTTTGCAGCTCAGATCGTCTTAAAATGTTTTCTTTGATTCTTTTGCTAATCCTTATGAAAAGGGCAGTTAGAAAATAAAAGCTGAAAGAAAAACTGATATTTACATTTTACCATTATTGGGGATGATGTGCAGGTGTGCTCAGGAGTTTACACTCACTAATCATGGGCATGAAGCTCAGGGTTATTTTGTTGCTGTTAAAGATTTCGTGGAGTTGTTCTGTTTCCAGGGTGGAATGATTGTACAGCGTGAGACTGGTTCCCTGTATCAAAATTTCAACCATCTAGCTGTTGATTTGACATGAAGTTGAAGATTTCGCAGGTAGTTTTTCAATATTCCATCCACTTTGTGTAATGTACCAGTACCACTGGCAAAAACAGCCCCAGAGCATGATGCGGGCAGGTGCAGATGCAGCTGCAGATTTTAGTTGACTTTGAAGGCGTCAGCAGCCTCTCAGGCTGGTGACAGTAATGCTGTTTCAGCAGTTTCCCGGTCATGGCAGGGAAGAGACCTTTCCAACTTGTATAAATCTACAATTCAGCTTCTTACACCTTCACTGAGGTTCTTGGACTGTCCTATTGCTCGGAGCATCGGCCTATCCAGTGAGTCAAAACAAATCCTTTCTATGCTGGCAAAGAGAAACTACTAGTTGTAGTCAATCATAATCCCTAATGAGAAGATAACAGGCCATGTACATGCCAAGTTAAAGGACACTGTAGAACCTTTAGCACCTCTTATTAAAAGATTTAAATGAATGTATGTATATAATTTGACTGTGTGGCCTCAAGAAGATCTAAAAAAAAAAATAAAATACAGCCACGTGCACCTAATTCTTGCCATTAAAATCATTAATGACATATGCTGTACAATCATTCCACCCTGACGTCAAATAAATAAAGGTCCAAAATTATCATGACAATCATGTCCACGGTGACTGGATGCAAACGTCTGAGCCCAGCTGCAGGTAGCTGCTTGGTGGAGTATTTGCATTTATTTGCTTGTGTTATAAAAGGCCTGAAATGCTAAATTTAGAGAGATTTACATCCCAGACTTGGTAGATGATTAAGGTCACATGGATGTTGTCACAGTGGTTATAATGATCAACATATATTCTACACCTGTGTGAGTCGGCTAGCATGTTTCCCCATTTAATGCTGACCACAGTTCAGCCACATACTTTCAATTTTCTGAAACCTTTTTGCATGAGGAATAACAAAAAAACAACAGCAGCAAATAGGATTTTAAAGAATGATTTTATTGTTAGGATACACAAGTGTTATAAGGGAGCGAGTCACACTTTAAAGAACAGTCACACAGAAAATATTAAGGCTTTTGTTTCCTTGCAGGTTTCTTTTTTTCCTGGCGTAACCCGCAGTCCTCCTTTACACGACGTACGGCCACACTTCAAAATTCAATGCAGACTTGAGCACTGAGTACAAACTAATGTTTGCATGTTTTTGCGTGACGCTGGTAAATCGGCTCATTAGGCAGCCATTACTGTGCTATATTCTAGCACCTTTCCTTAACGCCCTCTTCTTTTCAAAACAGACCTTTCCTCCTGCTACTGTAGGAAAAGCAGGTGAGGCACCATGCAAAGTAATGTAACTTTGGATTTCAAAATGTCTGCAGTGAAAACGTACTGTTGCAGGAATAACCGTAAAGCACTAATGTTCGTCCCAATCAAAGGCTAACAGTGCCCCGGGGGACATTTTGCTTTAGCCCAAGTCATTTGGAAAGGAATGTACAGGCCTGCATGATGTAATAGTATCATAAATCTTTTAAACAGCCAGCTTAAAGTATGGCTAAATCTATTAGAGTTGAAAGGGTTAGATTTTATCGCTAACCAACACAAGCACACAGTTAAGCAATGAGTAGCTGGCTCGGTGGTTAAAACAGCTAAGCATCCTCTCCATGCTCTCTTGACTACTTTCTGAACTAAAAATTAAACCCTTAGAAAACACACACAGTTAACCTTAATCAGTAATGTTAATATCACAGTTAAGGTGCTGAAAGTAGTTTGGAAAATCGTTAAAATAGCTATGAGTAAATTATAAAGAAGTTAAATCCTTAAAAGTATTGCATTACATAAAAAAGCTGAAACTACTGATGTTAATATATAACTTACACTAATGAGTAAATAGGAAATAGCTACAAACGCGGACAGTTTAATGGGTTATAATCTATCAATTTTCATATCATTATGTGGTATTAAGTGTTAAATAACAATAATTTTGAATGGTGGTGATGCTGACGGAGCAGCGACATGTCTGTGCTTCAGAACAATGTTGCGATTGACTCTGCATCTATTGAGGTTACTGAACAGAGGAGTTACACTTAGAATTAATATTAACCTCCTATTAACCTGGCGTACACATATGTGGACATCACATTTTGGGTTGTCTAGACCAAAATACTTAATTTTTCTCTACAAGGACCTGATATCCACTTACGAGGACGTTATACTGCCACTGTTCTATCAAAGTTTAAAACGAATGTCCTCAACTGTGGATCTCATTTTTCTCAGAAACTAAAATTAGGTTTAAAAAAAGAAAAAGAAAAAAAAAAGAAATCTGCTAATTCTTTGTTTTTAAATTCATCAGGTCCCAATCAACCCAAATAGCAAAGAAAAATTAAAAATGCATGCCATGAAAGAGTTCAGGTCTTAGGAGGTTAATATTAATTAATATGAATATATTTTATAGTTTTGCCTCATTATAACACAACAGTGGATACTTTATATTAAAACAGAATCAAGAAATGATTGAAGGGTAAGACCTTCAGCTTCATATAGTGGCTTTTCACTCTAATTTTAAATGTGAGGCCCATAAAGGTGGAAGTACAAGTAAGGGAGATCTCTGTTAGCCTGAAATACATAAATCTATCAGAGCGATAGCAAAAGCTTTAGCAGTTCAGTTCAACCTTAAAGGGAATAAATACTAGGCAGCTTGGTGACATCAAAAAGGTCTGAAAGACCACAGAAATGGTGAAGTGGATGACCACAGAATTATTTCGATGGTAAAGAAAAAACAGGAAGTAAGAGTGTCAGTTTCAACAATCTTTATGTTTAAATTCATATGGTTTGTTCAATTAATTAAAAGACGGTATATAAATTTTATAAAACGTTTATAAATTAAAACTGAAATTCTCATTTAAATCACATCTCAACTGTTTGAAATGCACTGTAGTGACATACAAGGACATGGAAATTATGTTGTCTAATGAATTATAGATCTAATTGTATTTTTCTTTATATATTTCTTTACTTTTTTCATAAATCTGCATTACTGCGTTATTTGGGCATATTTTTAAATCATTATCATCAGCTTAAAATGCCTGACCAATACTTTTAATTTTTCAAATGTTTTATAAACAATCAACCTTGTTAGCATGCTAACATGCTATGCTAACCAACCAAGTTTTGCTTTGACTTAACTTTGCTTTTATTTTTATTTTTTAATTGCTCACTACAGAAAAACAAAGGTATACGCATGTACATTAGGTTGTAGTTTTTAAAAGCACACTTTGAATGCAAAAGGCTTCACATTAAACGGTTAGCAACATGCTAATGAATTCAAATTTCCTAAAAACACATGAGACGTTAAATAACACTTACAGTACTCTTCTTCACAGTTTGCTTGTTTTTCCTAGAGTATTTCTAAATGTCTGAAAACTTCTCCTTAAATGAAAAGTTCAACTAACCTGTTCTTTATTTAATTTTAATTTTGGTGTTGTACTATTTCACGCCTTGGATTTAACATGGTGCTAAAGTCCAGATAAGAAGCCTCCCAGTAAAAGGACTGGAAGCAGATGCACTGATGTAGCAGACAAGAGGGTTCGACCAGCTGCTCCTCTGAGGAGTTTGGCATCTATGGAGGCTGAGACAACGCGACTGAAGATGTGATGAATGTGTCTGAAATTCTTCTGGAGAGGGGTCACCTGCTCTGCGTCCTCCTCTGTGGAGAAGATCTGCGAGGTAAACTGAGCCAGCTGAGGAGACAACCAAACCCAAAAATAATATTTTAAAGCAACAGGTAAGTCTTTAAAAAAATAACATAAAACCTGATCTGAACCTAGGCGACTTACTTGGGACCATGAAATGTAGATGGGGACCTCATACAAAGTCCACACAACCGCTTCAGAACATGGAGGGGTGGTAAGGCTGCCGTAATATCGGTAATACTGACTCATGTTGTGCTTTGGCAGGAGGCTCATTAGAGGAAATGGCTTTACTTTAGTTGCTTGCCCTGGGGGAAGGATACACAGACATAATGAGAACATTGCTACGACTAACACAAGAAGGCAGGAGTGGATTTTTCTTAAGGCTCCACTCACCTTTGTAAGCAACAGAGGAGAGTTTCTGTGAGATGTGTCCAAAGTGCACATTATCTGCATACACAACCTGAGAAATATGATAATGTCTTAATAGTTTTGCTTTAAAAATCCTTAAAAATGTAGTTCAGGACTAGGCTGAGAAATAAACTGACATCAATGAAGAATCCAAGAACGGCAAGTCCCGTTGGATCGTCGAGGGCTGCAGACAGATTTGGATGGATGGACTTCATGTTGACTATGTGCATCTGGAAGTAAAGAAAGTCCACAGAGACATTAAGGGAAGGCTGCACTGCATCTGTGTGCTTACACAGGTGGCTTGTGACTGTGTAACTCCGTCTACTGACCATACTGTACCTCCATTGGGTATCTGCGTCTGTCCACAGTGTGCTCTGAGCCGTTGGACGCCGGACCTCCCCAGTGGAAGTGCAGCTGGATGGTGTGGTACACATCTGGAAGACCGCCACCACTCACCGCCATGCCGCTGCCGACCTGCAGTATGACTGAGAGCAACAGCGCACGCGTCACCCCCAGCGCCCACGCGACAAAAACGCGCTACAATATGCGGGGTATTCACCTGAGTGCCCGTCGTTTTTGAGCGTCCAGTGGCCTGTTTGCGTCTCCTCGAAGCCCTCTAGATACAGAGCGCCCAGAGAGGCGTTTCTGACCATGTGTTCGTCCAAGTTGATGGGAGAGTGATGGTGATTAAGTAAAGAGTAACAGGAAGGGACCATGTCTCCCCATGAGTAAGGATCTGAGGATGTGAAAGAAGACTCATGAGCTCCAGACAGACAACTAAAAAGTGTAAGAAGAACCTTGCTTGCTTAACCTTAAAATCAGCTCACAGCAATCAGTTTTGGACAACCCATGCTTTCCGAATATCTGATATTTTGGCTTTTATTTTGAAAGGATACTTTAGACCCAGGGTCCCCAATCCCAGTCCACGAGGGCCGGTGTCCCTGTAGGTTTTAGATCTCACCCTGGGTCAAAACACCTGAATCACATGATTAGTTCATTACCAGGCCTCTGGAGAACTGCAACACATGTTGAGGAGGTCGTTTAACCATTTAAATCAGCTGTGATGGATCAAGGACACCTAAAACCTGCAGGGACACCGGCCCTCGTGGACTGGGATTGGAGATCCCTGCTTTAGACTTTCAACAGTGACTTCAGCTTCAGATCATCTAATATATAAGTCTTTTTGCCTTCAGCATTGCCTTAACTCTTCATGGCAGAGATTGAACAAAGTGCTGGAAAAATTCCCCAGTTTGGTCCACACTGAGATGCGAGCATCACATCCATGATGTCAGTCAGCTGTTCCAGCACATCCCAAAGGTGCTCTGTTGGGTTGATGTGGTCAGCAACCATCCGGCTGATAGGCTGTTGAGTTTTAATGATGCTCAGTTGGTACTAAGGGCCCCAAAGTGTGCCAAGAAACCCACACCATTACACCACCACCAAGTTGATACAAGGCAGAATAGATCCATCCTTTCATGTTCATTTCTGATCCTCGCAGGCAAATGTTGCAGTAGAAATCGAGACTCATCAGACCAAGCGTCAACATTTCAACTCTCTATTTTGAATTGTAGCCTCGGCTTCCTGTTCTTAGCTGACAGGAGTGATACCTAATGTGGTCTCTTCTGCTACTGTAGCACATCTGCTTCAAGATTCACACACTTCTGCACACCTTGGTTGTAGCAACTGGTTATTTACTGTTGCCTTTCATTCAGCTTGAAGCAGTCTGCCGCTTTATTCTCTTCTCTGCTGCCCACTTGACATTTTGTCCTTTATTTATTTATTTTTAGACCCCGTACAGTAAACTCTAGACATGGTTGTGTGGAAAATCCCAGCAAATCAGCAGTTTCTGAAATACTCAGTCAGCTCATCTGGCACCAACAATCAAAGTCACTTAAATCCCCGTTTTGAACTTCAATATGCCCCCTTGACCATGTCTACATGCCTAAAGGCATTCAGTTGCTGCCACGTGACTGACTGTTGTCACATTCAGATGGTCAGAATTTGGTGTGAACCATATGAAAGCATGAACTCATCCTGTGTGGTATCAATGGTTCAGGCTGCTGGTGGTGCAATGGCAACTGAGCATTAAAGCACTACCACCAGAGTATTGTTGCCGGTCACGTCCATCCCTTTATGACCACAGTGTGGCCATCATCTGATTCCAGTAGGATAACATGCCATGTCACAAAGCTCAAATCATCTCAATTTCTTGAACATGACAATGAGTTCACTGTACTCAAATGCCCTCCACAGTCATCAGATCTCAGTCCAATAGAGCACATCTGTGATTTAGTGGAACAGGAGATTTGGATCATGGGCGTTCAGCTGACAAATCACTGAGTAGTATTTCCAGCACCTTGTTGAATCAAGAATCTGGCAGATCTGAAGGCAAAAGGGGTACGAGCAAGGTGTAACCAAAGAAGTGGGCATTTGGTCTGTATTGTGCACTGTAACTGTGTCATTGATGGAATTTGATAAAATCCTTTCTAAAGATTTCATACCATCATCGTGAATCCTTTTCACCGTTCTAATCATAACGTGAAAATGTGACATCGTGACAGCGCTCGTTCTAAAATTAAAAAACAAATAAGTTACTCACCACAATGTGGCTCATCATAACAGTAGTCATCTGCGAAATGAAAACGGCACAGTGACGACAAACATCACCTTTCTTTCCCTTCCATCCAATTACACGAAATTGCGCGTAAGAGACGTTCGCAATATCTTTTCACCCCGCGAGACCAGAGTCGTGCCCTCACCTGAGTCAGCGTATGAGCCGACGATCACAAGGAGAGCTGCGGTCCAAATCATCCCAGGATCCTGGTGGAGCGCACAGTGAGGTAGACTGAAACAATCGAGGGCGAACGTCCGGCTTAAATATAGGAAGGAAGGTGAAAGCTGAGATTTACTTTCTCCTGGGCTGATCAGTCAACCGTGTCATTACCAGTCTAGTGGTCTTTTCTGATAAACAGGCTCATTGATGCAGGGAGAGCTTCACCCCCCTTACACCCCCACACACCCCCACCTCCCCAGCTGCTGCTGCTGTAAGCATAGATGCCCAGTGACTAGTAACAAGACCCATTCATCTCATGGGAAAGTCAGAGGATGTGTTAGGAGGCTGGATTAGAAGTGAACAGAATATATATGACTCGGTATAAAGAGGCTGTAAAAATGACACCGTGTTTAAACTTCAGAGGTTCTCTTTATATTTGCTCATCACTGCCCCACGCTTTACAGTGGGAGGGACCACCCTCTAATCAGTGCCAAGCTCTGGGAATCCAGTTAAAAACCCTCAAATTAACACCTAATTTTACACTTAAACCCATGTTTTTAAGTGATGTTACACTTCCTCTCCTAACAGCTCAGTGTTAAGTGTTACGTGTTTCCCATCCAGGAATAGATTGTGCGACTCCGTCACTACTCAGCCTGCATGAACAAAGCCTCTTTTCTCCGACGGTGCTTCTCGGCTGGGTATCACTCTCTCCTCTCCGCCTGCCCCCTTGTGAGTCACCGCGAGGTGCACTATATCCGCTTTCTTTAAATTATGAGAATCTTTTCATTGCCGTGTATTGGACACTGGTGCGAGGAGGCGGGGGGATTTCCCTGCATCCCACCTTAATCTAAATTGACATTTGGTGACCGCATACGAAGGAATTTCCTCCTCAAAGCCTCGCAGACCAGCTAAATGTCACGATGTAGCGAGGTTCAACGTAAAGTTCAGAGCCACTGACGCACAAGCTCGTCCTTCATGGTGCAATTTATTTGGCATTTGATTAGATGTACATCTACCTCAGAAAAAACACAAGCTCCCCTGCAAATTAAGCATTTCTTTTTTTAAATGGTAAAGGCTATGAAATAAACATCAATGAAATGTAGCATCTGCTGTATTGTACATAAAACATTTCAAACCCCGCTCCCCCTCCAAATCCAGAAAAACAAGCTCTCACGCCACCATCAACACCACCTTCTAGCACAGAAACTACAGTGTAAATGCAGCCGGATGGGTTGTGGTGGGCACGTTTTGGATGCATACGGGGATATTAAACTATATGCAGGAGTCTTTTGAGCCTACTGTACAGGACACATGGTTGAGCATAAAACATTTTTGTCCAAATCAAAAAGAACAAAAACTAAAAATCTCTCAGCATGCCAAAAGATTAAAAACATGCACCACAGGTCGAAAACGCAAAAAAAGCAAAAGAAACTTGATTTAAAATAAGAAAAAAAAAAAAAACCATAAGAAAAATCAAACTGAATACATCATTTCCTAAACACACATGAACACTTTTCCACAATTTTTGTGAACATGATTTTGTTTCTTGGATAATCCACTGTGGATTGTCAAAGTAAAGAAAAAAAAGGGGGGGAGGGTAGTTTAAACAAAAAAATAAATAAAATAAAAACAAGCAAAAAAAACCCCCCAAAAAACCAACTTCTTTTTACATACAATACATTCAAACATAAGTTACAGATGTGCACAGTCTGACATGTTTAAGCCGTTTTTCCCTCCTCGAGGCAGATCATGAGCGGCTTGGATGCTGGTGGTTGTGGGTCAGCTCTGATCTGCAGACGATTACTCCTCTGATGATTGACACCGTAATTCTCCCCAAGTATACAGACCCTCATCACTGACACATAAAAAAAAAAAAAAAAATCCCGCCGCTGCAGTTGGTGACATCTTTCACTAACTGAAGACAAACCTCAGTAACGGAGTTGCAACTGCATGAAGAATAGCACAGAAACGCACCTGATCCAACCGAGGGAGGAATTAAATCACAAAGAAAATGCAGAATTATCCTGGAAAGAGTTGGTAATGAAGCAGAAGCAACTCTGGGACCATCTGGATGATTATACGACTTAATGATTGGAGCATTTATCTCATATAAATGATTTTTTTTTTTTGGGTTTTTCAAACTTGATCTTCACATATACGCTCATAAAGCCTTTTGTCGCTTTGTTGATGGACAGGGAAAGAAAATCAGCCTATATCTATCCCACAATTAAACAATCAAGGTAACGACCTGCAGCCATAAATTATTATCAAAAAAAAAGAAAAAGAAAAAAAAGAGCACAACATCCTTTGACACTACGACGCCACATGTCAGCTTCGCCCGATAAAAACCCCACAGCAGGAAATTTAGCCGTATCTCGCGAGGTTGAACCTCTCAACTACAAAACATGTTTTTCTGCAAACTTGCTCTAAAAACCTGGAAGACGGCTTCGTGTGTCAGACTAATAAACACCAGGGGACAGTTTCTGTACGCGCTGCAACAGACTGTGGGGTGGATGAGAAAGTTATCGTAGCCTGAACACTGATTGATACGTATGTGTTTGAAAGTATGCCGCAAACACAAACAAAAGTTGGCTCTTCTGTCCGTATGCGGTTATTTTTCCTCGTGCTGTTACAAATCTGACCAAAGGGTGTATTTGCACTAGGGCCTTTTTTTTTTATGACCAACAGGCCCGTTTTGAGATGTTTGAAAAGCTTTTCTCAGTCTGGGCTAAAAGCAGAAGTGTGGCCTTCTCAGCCTGGATGTAGAGTTTTTGTCTCTTTGCTCCTTCAGATGTCATCGTCTTTAAAAAAAACAAACAAAACAAAACAAAAACACTCTGATGAGTCTGTACAAACTGTAACTGTCCTCTCTGCAGTCAGCATTTTGTGCTCCTGGTACGGAAAACATCTACGACCCTGCTCCAACTGTGGGTAACGTGCAGGTGTCTGCCCACAGTCTTATACCACGGTGCTGAGGGAGGAGGCGCAGTCTGCAGGCATGGAGACGGGGGCGTGGCCATCTGTCGGTGTGTCGGGCCCCACCAGGAGGGTGCTGCTGTCTATGGAGTCCTCCCTCTCCTGACAGGACGGCGCGGAGTCTGGCACCGGGCCTGTCGCGTTGGGAATATTGGCCTGGAGCCCGTCACCCATGGCGTTCATCTGGCTCGGCACGATGGAAACCCCACCATGCCCTGAAGATACAGATGCAGACAGAGAAGTGGGAAACGAGAGCGTTTATCACTCCGCACATGACAATGTTTGTAAAGAACAAGAGAAAAGGATGTGCGCCTACCGAGGTCCACGTAGAGGAGGCTGTCTGGGTTTATGGAGGCTTCGTATGGAGGAGGGGGGTCGTCGGGATGCTGGATGTCGGGGTATTTGTAGGCTGCATAAGGCGGAGGAGGCTCTTGGAAATGAAAAGCGCCTCCCTCCCCATCATCGGACAGATGCAGGGGAGTGAGACCAGTGCCGAAGGCGTCCGGGCCGTAGTCAAAGCCTGGGACTCGTCTTCCAAGGTTAAAGTGGTGCACTGAGATTAAAGCAGAGTTTAAAGTTTAAGATGCATTTAAAGTGAGCTTTTTGGATTATTCAGACCATCTAAAAATAATAATAATAATAATAATAATAATAATAATGATAATAATGGATTGCATTATCATCTCTGTCTTATTGCTGTTTTATCGCACTTAAGATGCTTTGAAGATGGCAACTGACTGAGAGTGGTCGCAGATCTGGTCTCCGTTTCCAAAGCAACCACTTCAAAAACAACAAGATTGTAAGTTGTCACAAAAACTTTGTGCTGCCATCTCCAACAACCTATTTCCCCAATGTGACTGCAGCAACAGCCAAGACTGTTGTTACTCTCATTTGTATGAAGATGCAGAAAAATAGAAATAAATGTAAAATAGAAAAAAAAACAAATAAATACATTTTAGATGTATAAAGCATAAAACAAGAGGGGAAATTAAACGAATTAATAAAAATAAGTAGCTTAAAACATAAATATCAATATTTAGAATTAATTTCAACATTTATTTTATTTATTTATTGTTGTTTGTGGCCGTTTTTGCCATCCTTATGAGTTTTCATTTTTAGAAAGGAAGATTTTTATCTCAGCTTTTTAAATCGTTCCTCATACAGACAAAGATTAAAAAGTGACCACAGGTGTAAACTTTGGATCTCAGTGCTGCAACACTTTACTCACAGTTTCCTCCAATCAGCGTTTCGATGCGTTCACGTCTTCTCTGACGGAGTCTGTGTACCATGAAGAGCAGCAGAGAGAGGATAAGGAAGGACGAGATGCAGCTGACGATCAGCCTCATCCCGCTGGCCATCGAGTCAAACAGACTATTCCCATCTGACGGAGAAGACGGGAAAAATCTAATCAAATCAGGATATGTCCTTGCAAACGTACTTCGTTAAAAACTTTCTTTTGCTGAGCTTCGAAGGAAATTCTGCACCGTTTATGTGTGAATGTGACACAATTTGCACATTAAACAACACTTTCACATCTTTTCCTTGCAGCACTATTTAGAAGAGGAGCAGGAGCTAATTGTTGATATAAATTAGGCAATTTGAATCCTCCTGACTCATTTAACTTAATATACTGAATATCAAACAGTGTAAAAATGTGTAGGTGACGAATCGTGATGCAGAATAACATCTTATAGGACTACGAGCACTGGAAGGCTTCTAATCACTGATGATCATTACACACTGGTGGTGGTTTGTAACCAGTGGGATGTGTTTGGATGCGGTGGTAGTACCTGGATCGAGGCAGGTGAACTTGCAGCACTCTTTGGGATCCTTGCGGAAGTGCTGGCAGCCTTGTGGCCGCTCACACAGCGCGGCGACGCACATCTCAGGCTCGCCGTCATGACACGTGCAGCTGAGACACGGGTCGTCTCCTTTGGGGGTGAAGTAGTAGCCCTCGTTTACGACATTGTCTTTTATATCCACGCACGTTTGCCCTGTGGCACAGAGAATATCAAAATAAACACATGGCCCCAGCGGAGCAAATAACTGACACATTTTTGATAACAAACAGAAAATTAACCCGTACTCCTCTTGCACAGAAACGGAAACTTCTTGTAGCAGTTCTCAGCGTGCCAGCTGTGCAGGCCTCGCTCGTTCATGCTTTTGTACTGAAAGCGCTGCAGCTGCGCACAGAAGACATTGTCTTGGGTGGCGGAGGCCTCCCCCAAGTCTTTCAGACCCTCAGGAGGCAAAAACACCTGCATAGAGCCTGAACACAAACAATTCACACATTAAAGCATTCAAATAAATTACAGAAGACAAACAGCACATGTAGGTACTTCACAAAGCTGAATCTTTTATACCTTTGTATGCTACTTCCCAGCGGCCATCCAAGGAGTGGCTCTGATTGGTGATCACATACTGGTAACCCACCCAAAATCTGAAACAAACAACACCACTTACACCATGTCTAGTGATGACGCATTAGCTACTACCAGCCACTAGATGGCCTGCAACCAGCTACAGAGCAGTATAACATCTAAAACAACAAGCACACGCACTTCTGCAATATCTTCCTTATTAAAAAAACAAAAACAAACCAGAATTAAAGCAGAAGTTTAAAGACTGAAATGAGATCTCTGTTCAGGAACTGAAACCTGGCAGCTTATTTCTGTGGCAATAAAGAAAACTTACTTGCACTGATCTCTGCACACTTTATCGTCAAAGTCCACCTCGATCTTCAGTATGAACTGCAGCTCCTCGTTGGTCACAAACGTGGCCAACGAGCCGTTGACTTTCTGACACGTATCCACGGCCTGCCAGTAGTTCTCGTTCTTCAGGTACACTTTGTAGCAGCTCGCTGTTTTCTCGTAGTGATGCCACCCGCTGGGACATTTCTCTGCAGACAGAGAAGACAAGAGTGAGCACATGATCGCCATGCAGATTCGATTCAAATAAACCTGCTGAGAGCAAAGTGAGACACTTACTGTTGAAGCGCACCGGCTGAGCCACACCGATGACGTCTTCCACCTGGTCGTACCCGCTGCCATAACGAAACCTCTCCTCTTTTATAACAGCACAAATCAAGACAAAAAGGTTAAAAAAGTGGACTTGTTTGTACGTTCTGCCATAATAAATGTAACTGAGAACAACAGATGGTGTTTTCAGTGTGTAGGATAATTGTTAACAGCCCGCGATAATATTTAGAAGTCAAAACCACCACACATCAGTGAAAATAAGATATATACTGAGGCTGATTCTAATCTGAGTATTATGAAAGCAGAAGCAATGCTTTGCTGACCGTGCAGATAGCATCCTCTACTATGTTTTATCAGGAGTTCACAGAGACTAAAGTCTAGACTGAGGGAAGCACCCCAGTACAGTCTATGTGCAACACAATATAATATACACTTTTTAATGACAAAGTTGTTAATGTGATGGATCTCTTGCTACTCTTTGACTAGCTAGTAAGAAAATAAAGTACGTAGGTATGTTACAAACTATAAAGAAAACACTCTGTCTCAATTGTGGCATCTTTACTACTTTTTCTTAGTATAAACTAGAAGAAAAAGATCAGATTTAAAAACGGGGAATATGCTTGATCTCTTAGAGCACATATGATATATCAGCAGATAATAGGTGTTTACTGATATTGGCATTTATAACAGCTGATAAATGAGCATTTAAAATGTAAAAAGACAAGAGAAACAGCCTTCAAATGCTTTTCTGTGTTGATGCTGCATAATCTGTCCACCAGAGGGCCCTCTGTAACTTCCCTGTTAGCAAAACACCTCTGGCACAACAACCAGAGGTGTGTTTTTGATGGTGGCTATATTGGACAACGGATGCTGGATTTGGAGCAGGCAGGAAGGAAGAGAGGACGACCTCAGAGGAGGTTCATGGATGTGGTGTAAAAAAGAGGACAGGCTGGTGTGAGACAATGGCGACCCCTGAAGGGAGTAATGGGTAGCAGATAAAAAAAGACTATTTCTCTGTTACATGACTCAATGAGATTTTGTTCTTGACTGATGCTTCAAAAAGGAAGGAACTGCAGGCTATAAAAACAGCAAATACTGAAGAACTTAACTGAAAAAAACCCACCAAATTTGAGGAGCATACACTTTGTTTACATTTATAACAGCATTTATTTTGATTTTGCACTGAGATTCATGACAACTAGAGATGGCACGATACCACTTTTTTAATGTCCGATATAGATATCATAAATTTGGATATCTGAAGATACCGATATGAATCCGATAGTGTAATTTTTAATCAATAAAACTTCTTTAAAAAAAAAAAAAAAAAAAAAATATCTTGCTGCATTTTGTATAAGTTCATTTTCAAGTCTAAAAACAAAACAAAACACTAAAGCTATTCTGCTATATTTGTATGCAAAAAATACACTGCACCCAAAATATTTCATAGTTCAGCAACACTGATCAATCTAATAAACTTAAACCTGCACCATCCTTCCTATTCTGGTGTTTTAAAGAGTACTTAGCAGAAATATTAAACAACCTAACTAATAGGGATGTCAACTACTAGCAGAAAAAAAATAGGGAACAGCTAGACATTTTAAATGTGCCCCCGTTTCCCTGTTCATGGCCTATCGGCCCCCTGCATAACTTTGCTAGATCCGCCCCTGCACAGTTGCCAGCCGTCAGCTACGTAGAAAAAGATCCTGGTGTAGAAATTAATATTAAATAAATTCTAACAACAGCTTATCACGGTTAAACTTGCTGCTGTTGTTTAGCCGCTGGTTTCCTTTTTCTGGTGCAAAGTGGGTCAAAAACTAACAAGAGAGAAAGACTCGCGACAGAAAAGCTGATCAGCCGATCATTGATCAGTTTCATGATTGAAGTAGCAACAGGAGAGGGAGGGAGAGAATGAGAGGCAGTCGCTCCATATATTGGTTGTTAAGCTTAACGTGGGAATGCTTTACAAACATTCACAGATGAACTTACACACTTGCTTTACTTCTCTCTGGGTTAACTTTCTCTGAGATGAAATGCCGGTTTGGTAGCGAGGCTCCAAATGCTCAACCAGACCGCCAAGAGGTCTCGCACGCTACAGCCGCTCTATCATGTGACACATATTGGACTGATGTGCTAAGGTTATGAGCTGAGTTACGCCATGTTGCAAGTTTTGTGAGGTGCTTTCGTGATATTTAATGGATTGGATTACATTTTTTATTTCTCTCCGACATCCGATCCAGTAATTTAGGTCAGTATTGGACTAATACGGATACATAATATCGGATCGGTCCATCTCTAATGACAACAATCTGTAGCCACAGTTTTCACTGCATACAGTGACAGGCCTTCAGCTGGGTATTTTCAACTTTTCAAGTTTCTCAACTGTAAAGTTGAGACGTTTCTTCTTGCATCGGCCACTCTGCTGTTATTATAAGATTGAAGGATTGCTTCACCTTTTAGTGTTATTAAAAAAAGTTAAGTGCCCTAACAAGAACAAAGACTCTCCAGCAAGCCGCTGATTAACGTGACAATAAGCCCTTGACTTGAGTAAGGCTTGCATTTCTCAGTAAGCTCACACTTAAAAAAAACAAAAGGTCAGTAGTTGTCCCTCTAAACATGCAGACTATCAGATATATGAATTTGTCCAGTTTTACTGCTGAATAAACAGAAAGAAAAAGAAGCAGAAGGAAATTACTTCTCAACTTCTTAAGCTGTTCTGTTAAAAATGTGGTTTTACTGCAGAATGAATAGACTTCAGTGTGAACCCTTAATCGTTTAACAGCAGTGCCGGCATGGAGCGTTAACTCGGAGCGTGGACGGCTGCTGTATGGAGGTCACATGCTGCACTCAATCCTTTCACTAACTCCTGTTATGCTGTTAGAGATCTCGGGATAAGGTCTTTCTAGATTTAAGCGGAGAACAATAGGATTTTGGTCAAAGGCTTAGTGACATCTATGCAGTGTAGGACAGATGAACCAGCAGTAAACAAAAACAGAGACACATGTGCAGCCACTCAGCCTTTAACCCTTCTTCCCCCTGCCATCTGACGCTGTCAATAGAGCGGACACACTGTGAGGGACTATGAGGACTACAAAACCACATCTGAGCAGCTGAGCAAAAGCAAATTAGTAAGACAGGACTGTTTATGTGGGTGGTTATTGTATTAAATGCAACTATGCCATGCTGCAGTTCAGACAGGGACGCAAGGGCCAAGATTTACTATTTTTACGTTTGGTAGGAAAAACCTCTGTGATAAAAACAAAGCTATTGTCAGTATCTGTTGAAGAGGTGCACTGAAAGGAGTGGACGCAGGTATTTAAAAGTCATAAAACCTGATCTACTAATGCTAAAGGCAGGTGATTTTACTGCCAACTGTGCTCAATTTAACTCAGTTCTCCAACTTCTCTGGAATGAGAAGGAGAGATGGCATGTGTTCAAAGTAGAAAAACTTAAGGCTGAGCGCCGCATATTTCTGGCCCTCAATACTACCGATATTCACCCAAGTGACATGTAATTCCTAATTTTCCACTTCCGAACTTGCTCAGTAACATACATACACACTGAACACCAAACGTGTGAATGCTCAGTGTCAAAAATAGCACTGTGAAAAAAATAAAAAACACTGACATGGGGCCAGCTGATTTTTCTGAACAAGAAAAGAAAGAAACAGATATTCTGGCTTCATCCAGTTCAGACCCAGTTAGTATTCCAACCGTCTCCTGTAGTGCAAAAGCATGTTTATGGATGGTGTGCGACTTGCTTTGTAGCCGTGTTCCTGTGGGATTACGCTTTAGCAGGAAATCTACAACCTAACTATGTCGAAACTCAACGCATTAGCCTTACATGCACCTCCCTAGAAATGTAACCACACAACTACTCTGATTGGTCAATTATTCCTGTGTATGTCTGGCTACTTTTTGGTTCAGTTTTTCAAATTTATCAGTGAGAGCATAAAATCATCGCCTCAATGTAAGGAATAATAATCAATATTAGAACTCACAAATATCAGCAAATTCCTGAAGGGAGATTGTTGAAACTATCAGAATGAAGACGAGGGAGTGTACAAAGAAATGGAAAAAGTCCCCTCAAGCCCCTGAAGAACACTGACCACAACAAAGCATTGACATTGCCTGGCATCGCATGGAAAACACCAGGACACGACCACACTGTAATTAACATGTAATGCACCAGCACAAGAGTAAGTGCAAGCTGTGGGCTCCACAAAGCTTCCCTGCACAGGTCTGGCGCACTGGCGACCTGTCCAGGGTGTAGCCAGGTGGGATAGGTGGGATAACTCCAGCCTCCATACAACCATGAGCTGGATAACCGGTTTAGATGGAAGGAGATTACCCAGAAAACAAAAACATATTGATTTTCCTTCAGCTGCCTCTCATTGATCTGAGCTGCCATGCTCTTTCAAAGAGAAAGCACATGTCCTGTTCATCCTGCTCTTTTACTCCATCATATTCCTTAATACACACTCACTCAATCAACTCTTCTGTATGTAGATGTCACTGCTCATTAATGACATGGACTAACAGCGTCTTTGTTTACAAACTGAGGCACTGATGGCTGATCACCTGCAGATAACTTCCATTTACCCTGTATACTAAATCTGTGCATATATTCACCTGAACATCTCTCAGTTTGGCTTGATTAGATTGCGCTACATCCTCCACACCTGTATTCAGAGCTGCTCAGCTGTGGTCTGATCATCCAAGCGTGAAAAGGTTTTAAAAGGTTCTGGGTGTTGCTAGACTTTCCAAAAATCAATCATGTTATGGGTGTTAGGTAACAGACTGAGTGTGAAAGGGCTTAAGTGAGCTGCACTCACGGGGACAGTCCATCTCGTCACTCTTGTCCTCACACGCTGTCCAGCCGTCACACTGCCAGGACATCGGGATACACTGCATCTTCCCACTGCGGCAGGCAAACTGCCCGGGGCTGCAGCGCTGCTCTGAAATACACACAAAAAAAAGAGGGTTTATGTGGTTAAACCTGCACATAACCAAGGCCTTTTTCCTAAGAAGAGAAAAACCATTTAAACTCAGAGTGCAGCAGTCTGAATGGCGCCGTGTGAGCTTTCAAGGCAGTTAATAAAATAAGATGTCTGAGATGGCGAATGGGTAAATGTACAATTAGAGCTGCTTGATCACGGCAAAAATCATCATCACCATTACTTCGTGAGTATTGACATTGGGATGATTTAACACAACTGCTTACACGCTCAAAACAAAAACAACAACAAAAAAAACAAAACACAACAGGCCAAATGCAAAGGAAAGGGATGCACTTTTTGGCCAAACAAGAGCATTATTGGAAAACACACAACGTTATTATGTTAATAAATGAGTGGAAGACAAAATTGTAACTGAATAAAAATTCAATCAACTGTGCTTCCTGTGATTGTGACTGTCCTAATTATTACTCTTAGGGTACTCTTAGGGCAGAGCTACTGTCCTAAGAGTAGCTCTGCCACTTTAACAGAATTTGTCTGGTATTTCCTTTGACGTAGTGGTGTCATTTCTGTGTGTTTGCGCAGCCTAGGAAGTAATAGTGACCCTTAAGCCCCTTGCTTAAGGGGCTTTTTCCGCCCCTTAAGCAAGGGGCGGAAAAAAGCCACAGCCGCTAGCGATCACGTATGTTTGGATTTCTTAAACTTTATCAGAGATGTCGATCAACTGCAAGGAGGAAGATAATCTGCAGAGCCATTTCATCATGTCTGCAAGCCACTGCATTATGTTTATAGCCTGACATTAATAGAATCTGCTGCTAAGAGTATTTCATGATATTCAGTAACATTAGAGCGCTGAGTACTCCTGCAAGCAGTTCAGTGATGACAGCAACTCAAGAAGAAGCCTAAGGCACACAGCAGACAATACTGAACTTCTATGTTCTGTCTGTTTAGCGGCCTATGAAATAAACTGAGCTTTCCCGATGCAGTTAAACAGCTCAGTGGGCAGTGTCAACATTACTGATCATCAGATCAATAACTTATCACTATTTGCTTGTTTTTAGATTGTTACAGAAAAGGGTAAGTTCAACATACTCGGGATATCGCTTGCCTTTACTTAAGCTGTCATATGAAAGTACATATACTTCTGTTAAGTGTTTCCAGCTGGGCATCATGTACCTGGAGTTAGGGCTGCTCAATTAATCAAATTTTAATCACGATTACGATCTGGGCTTTCAACGATCATTAAAAATGACTGAGCCGATTATTAGCCCCTCCCTCATTTATCCGCGACACCTTAAAGGCCGGTCCGTGAAAATATTGTCAGGCATAAACCGGCCCTTGGCGCAAAAAAGGTTGGAGACCGCTGATTAAGAGGACCCGAGGGAAGCTCAGAAAGCTAAGCAGAAGTTATTTGGAGAGGAGAGTGACTGCCGTTGGTTGAAAAGAGTTTAAAAAAAAAAAAACTTCAGTGGTGTTGCACACTATTTTATATTATTTTTTAAAGTCATTATTCAATACATTGTTATTGTTAACCCTTTAAAGCCGGTCAGAGCACCATGCTCTGTTTTGTGTAACATTTTTAAATCCCTGTAGAACCTGAACCGTGTAAGCTAGCGCAATATTATTATTTTTTGCATAAGAAACCAGAGGAGTTTTACTTACATCTTATGCCATCAGCTTGTCCTCGGTCACGGTTTCCTTCCACATATATCTTTGCAAAAGTTGCATAAAAAGCACTTGCAGCAACAAAAACATAATATTCCAGAAACACGCTTTGCCGACCCGATCAGCTGTTCGTAACACTTCCCACAGTGAAACAGACGTCAGCGCAAACTATCGCATGTCCGCCATTTCCTGCCCGAAACCGGAAGTGACATAATTTTTGCGGAAAATGTAGTATTTTACTTGTAGGCTTTAAAAGCCTATACTGGTGTTTTTATAAGTCATGTTTGACTTTTCTGAATAGTTTCTGGGATGCTTGCAACTCGAATTGCACTGCTGGAAATAGTTTATTTTGATGCACCTGCTGTTTTTAGATTTCCTGTTGTTGTAAACTATTTTTTGCAACTTTTTTGTATTTAAAAGTTTTGAGGGATAAACCTCTTAAATTTCTCCAAGTAGAAATATATGTAAAAAAAAAACCAAAAACGATTTTCAAATTTTTTCTAGTTTATTGCACTTTTTTGCAATTAATGTAGTTACTATGGACTTAATGCATACATATTATTAAAATATGGGCTATAACAGTTGTATAGCAACTTGAAATGCTCCCACAAATGGCACTACAACATATAAAAAATAATATAAGCTCTGGCGGACTTGGTTCTATAGTAGGTCGTAAGGGTTAAATAAATATTGTCAAATAATCGAGATCTCAATTTCAGTGAAAATAATCGTGATTATCATTTTTGCCATAATCGAGCAGCCCTACCTGGAGTCAAATGTTTTAACCGATGCGTGAAACAATACATTTTTAGACATAAGTGGTAATGGCTGCCGTTTTATTTGTGAATATTTATTACACGGCGTGCTGCGGGGAAAAGCCTGTTCTAACGTTTGAGTCTAAGGTTTATTTTTTAGCACCTGGCGGCTCTTTTTTGCTTCTCATCCGTAAATAATCTGCTCTTTCACGTGATTCAGTTTATTTTGAAAAGTCTCAACAGGCTCTTGATCTTTATTCTGAAAGGTTTATGTGGAAAATAAACAAGCGGACACCAATGGTTTTATCGTTGTTGTTGCTAACAACAACGCATAAAAACAGGCGCTTGTCCGACCGTACTGTGGTTATATTAAATATAAGAGAAAGAGAGAACTTTAAGAAATTAATATAGCCACTACATTGACCATCAAAACGATGAAAAAATATTGCCGTAAACAGTTTATTTTGCGACACCACGAAACAAACGATAGCGTAAAATGAAACGATAGATGTTTTTATATAGTCATCCGATATATATCATTATATCGAACAGCCCTAGGACAGAGTGAATGAAAATAAAAACTGAAATTTAAGTTCCTTTCCTTAATACAGGGTATTATTTTCAACAATAGATTTAGCAGTCCTGCCCATTAGAGATCAGACTGTGCTACATGAAGCCCATTAACTAAAATCTGTTTTAGCCCACCTGGTTTATATTAAAATATAAATTTGACTGCTTTAAAAGGACTTTTAGTTTAATACAGGGTGACTCTTATATTGAAAATCTGCTTGAAAACCCCAAAAACATACTGTGCTTACCTGACAATAATCTTGCCAGAGCTACCCGTGGACCTGAAACAAATAGAAAAAAAAAAATAGAGTGACTAGCCTGTATATCAGTGTGTCGTCTTTCAAAAAAAAAGTAAAAATATATTTCATTTAATCCAGTCCGATTTAAAAAGAAAAAAAAAAAGTTATATTTTTTTAATCCTTTTTATGCTGCTCGTGATTTTTTCTTTATTTCTTACTGTCACCTGTTCTCTCCACCCTCTTGTTTGTGAGGACACAGGTAGTCATGTAAACCTGCAGAGGAGCTGCATCACCCACTTGCCTGACAAACAAACACTATTTTTTTCTTAGAAGAGAGAAAAAGGGAGGGAAAAAAAGCTTATTTAATTTAAAACCAGACCTCCAGCTTTGAAAATCAACACAGCTGCGACCACAACCTAAACTGGACTTCAGTGTTAAATATTATTTATTTGTACTACAGGTGGTGCAAAATAAATAAGCAATTACAAGAAAAAAAATCTGATTTCCCAAATAAAAGCTGTCAGTTAGTTATAAGAGTTCGTTTTGATGTCAGATTTTCTAAATAAAAGTTATTTCCCAGATGTCTGACTTCATTACCATCATACTTCAACTTTTATAGCCAAACTATTTAGCTACCGTTCTTTTGCAACAAGCATTAAAGCCCAACAACACCACCGGATTTCCAGAAAGCCTAGTTCTGATTGCTGCAACCTTACTGCACAAGGATTCCTTAGACACTAACAACCCTGTGGGAACTTCTCACTGGGCTTTACACCATGATTTAAGCATTAAAAAGCTTTTTCTAGTACTGGACTGTACATCCCTATTTTATAGAGAAGCAGGATGAAGAAAAAACCCCACATTGTGGCTGGGATGAATTCATTGCAATTTGTTCTTGGAAGCATTACAACGCTACCAGTTCATCTATATTTTAGTGTAATGCTTGTCCGAGGGTTAAACAGCGCCAGAGTTGTTAATTTAAGCTTAGGAAAGCTAATGTTAGATCGAAGCAGTGCTACTGAACCTGTAACCCTTAAGGTTAACAAGATCACACAGTCCACGGGTGTTTTAATAGCCATCTCACACAGAAATGTCACCTCTTGGTTAATGCTAAGTGGACTGAGGTGCATTACAGACACATCTCAGTCTCCAGGGAGTGAGTGCATCATCAAACCTGAATGTGTGTCAAAATGACAGATAACTTTAAAGACATTAACAATTAAACACATTAGAGGGAGGCTAATAATAATAATTCATCCTTAAGTTTATGATAAATAATTGTTGGCGGATGGGTTAAAAAGCTTTGTTTACGGTAATCAAACAGGGGTAGAAGGTGATGGCCCTTAGTTGGAAGCAGGCTTGTTTTAGAGTCCGATTTTTTTAAAATCTAATGCCCCAGTTCAATCAGTGCATTGAATGAAGCTTCGCTCAGATTCCCTCATATTTGCCCTCTTAAAGTCATGACATTATGACTGCAGGCAATCATATTTCAAAAGTGAGGGGATTTCCCCTTTAAATGCTTCCACAGGGGGGATTTATACACTTTGGGAGGGATCAGGGTCAGTTTGAGGATCAAACTGTTGGGGGGATAAGCCGAGTGAGCTCAAGACTGGAGGTCCGAATAACCGATTAGTAACGTGCAGGTCACTGGTTTGAGTCCCTGTTCAGATGAAGGCACTTCCTTTTTCTCCAGAGTGTGATCCTAGGTGTCTTAAGTAGATTTAGATGTCTGCACTCTGTCAATTTCACATCTTTTAAGTCTCATAGAAACATGGAAGGAAAGCACATCAGACGTTGTCCACATTGGATGTCAATTCATCTTTGGAGCAATTTGGACCAGTCCGGTGCAATGCTTTTAATTGTTTTGGGTATTTTCCTACATTATAAATGCTAATTTGAGGCCCTAGTTTCTGATATATAGTATTCTCCATGTGCAGGAAGCAAACAAGACTTTTATTAGCAGTTCTGGTTTCTATTTTGAGTCTTACTGACTAGCACAGACTTGGAAAATAGGAATACATTGGCTGAAATGAATCTCAAACACATCAACACTTGGTCCAATCACAATTCAGCTATTTATTGAGTTTAAATAAAAAGCTCCTTACTCATAGTCAGACTGCAAACAGTGACTGAAACACAAAAAAGGACATCCAGACTTATGTGTGATTTTTCTTTTATGTGGATACCCACCGGCTATGGTAGTAGCTAAGGATTTTGGGAAGTGGCGACCCTGAAATTTGATCATGAGGACAGGTTGACTTTCCATGCTTTTTATTTTCAGAAAGATAAATAAAACACAGCCCAATAAAACCTCTGATAAAACCTCTGAGATGCCACAATAAAAGCTGCTTCAAATCAAAATCCCTAGTGTTTCAGTGGACACTAGCAATACAGTTTATTGAAACGCGCATGCTTTTATTGTGAAACATTTTCTTGTGTATTAAATATATTACAAACGAATTAACCAATTACCTTATAATGTACATGTTTGCAGACTTGCTAAAGAAAACAAGCCTCTTGCTGTGTGTAGCTGAATAAACACTTTCATCAGAGAAGGATGTGAGCTTTTTCCTCTTCCCTACAAGGCTGCCAGATAATTGTAACAAATCCTCCGACAGGGAACAATATTTTAATTTAAAAATTTTTCCCCATACATTTCCCACTAATGAATATTGCAATAAGACTTGCTGCTAAGGCTAAGAAGCAAACAAAGCCAAATCCAGCTTGTTACTGGCTGACTCTTTATATAGTTACATGTGCTCCTTCAGAACTATAAAATACAAGCATATGTGCTCCATTTGAATAATGACTGTCTGTGCACATCAGTATTCATGCTTTCAGTGCATAGCTGGTATCTGTACTGCTCGAAAACCCACAAATGCTACTGGAATCAGAATAAGATGCCAGCAGCTGCCTGCTTTAGGTTATCAGACATTACAAGCTGAAATCAGGACTTGTGCATATCCAACCTGTTCATATATCAGAATAACAATGATTAGGCAGTTATTGTTTTGTTACTGCTGCGGGAAAACACAAGGTCAGAAAATCAGAGATCTCAATTTAGTTAAAGGCAACAGGGGCAAAAAAAAAAAAAAAAAAACAACAACTAAAAAAACCCATCCCTTGCCGAGGCTTTTTTTCAGGATTTTATGATCTGTACACGTTGACAAAAGAATCAGCAAACACTGGTTACCCTGAGCGAAGTGAGCCTCTGCATCTCTTATATAACCGACAGGAAAGCACAATAAAGACTATGAGACTGCCCCAGCTCGGTCCCGCTCAAGTGTAACGGCACAGTGAACCGGCCTTGTGCACACTCTGCATCATCTCCAGCTGCTGATGATTCATATCAGCACTGAGCTTTGCTGTTAAAAGCACTGTGTGGGTATGGACATTCATTTATTTCTTTTTCATTGCACCTTCTCACATTAACAAGCCATATTTTTATCTGCACCTTGTGCATGAAAGCACTGCTGGTCAGCTTCCTGTGATAATTAACCAAAGTAAAGCGCCTTTCCTGTGCTAACACTGTCAGTTCAGCTGTGAGACACACTTAATATTTAAAATTGTAAACAAAGCTGTGTGACTGGAAGCTACAATGTTATTAGAAAAAGTTAACACTGTTTCCAAAGTAAGTAGTGTCAAAGGGGCAATACTATATCTCTATAGACCAATTCACCATGTTAGCTATAAGACGCCTTATGAAATCAGTCCTTGAGTCACTTCTATATTATTTTAAATTCCTCTACAAAAGCAGTCCCCAGCAAACCAGGACGAGAAGTGTCAAAGTGAAAAAGTTTTGCTTTACAGCCAGAAATGTGAAAGGGGATGAGGGCTGTCTTACAGTAATCCTGCAGAAGGAAGTAATTCACCCGTATAGACACTATTTACCCCATAAAACAACCAAATGGAAACCATAACTTAGCCTCATGTCTGGACAATGTTGACATCAAATTTCACGAGTTCTCTCAAGCGCCATATTATCTCATTTACTGCTTTTCGCTAGCTGCCAGAATACACGTACACAGGGTTATTTTGCCCGCATGTCATGTTTCAAACATTTGCCTCAGTGACCTTTCAATAAACTGCATCACTGTATTATTGCATGGCTGTACTTCAAGTCTACCTGTTAAAATCCTCAAACGATAAATGGCACAGGTTGAAACACCGCCAATTTTTTTGTGAAAAACAGACTACTGAACAGCCGACAGTGCAACACAAATCGGCTGCTCAGACCCACAGACAAGACCCAAAGATTAGCTGACTGCAGCTCAAGTTTAAGCTGATGGTTGTGTCAGTCACACTACACAAAAACAACCAAGCTCTGTTCACTTTTATACGCTGTTGGCTGTACTTAACCTCTTGACTCTTTTTTTAGAGCGCACACTGAAGTTTTTCACTCTCAGACAGCTCGGTTCACCTCTAGTCTCTGTAACCCACAGGACACATGCTAACCACTGGGCCTATCATGTGCATTTCTGCTTTTATCTTAACCATACATACTGCTTCTAGCGTGTATTGTTATGCATCATGCAAATGCAGGAAACCTGCTGATTTGCCTTAGTTGCACGTGAAACTCAGCTGGCCAATTGAGATGATCCCGATCACATAGATTTGCCTTAAAATGTGTGACACTTCAGTGTTGCCTGCCTCATTGGAAAATGCATAATCTGAACCTTTGAGAGTTTGCTGGAGTCAGCTGTGAAACAAATGTAGAAAGCAGGTATGCCCTTTGTAAGTGTTAAAAATGTATGAGGATGATGTGGTTTAGCAGGTTACATCAATACCAAGTTAATGTCTCCACAACACGAAGTCTTAAGCAATTATTTACATGTACGTTCAGATTTGGAGTTATACTCCCGCAGTCTTGATCTCAAGTCAAATGACCAAGTCATGGTTGAAATAGTGACAAAAAAAAGCCAGCCCAACTTATAAAAACACAAGATGATGCATTCACTCCTGAGCATTTAAGAAAATCATGACTGTACTATTTGGAAACTCCTAATATAAATAAACATTTGCCCAGGGAACAAACCTCGACACGACCGATTAAAAGCACGCCCTGTTTGGTGTGCCAATTGTTTTCTAGGTGGGAGGTTTCTCCTTTGGATCGAGGCAGACAATAAAGTGTTTATTCATGAGGCTGAACTGATAGTCTGAACTGAATATCAGGATCACAAGACCGGGATTAAAGCAAACCACAAGACGCATTTGGCCTTTCCCTGCTCAAATGGACATCTAAACAGCACCTTAGAAGCTCTGCATTTGAAACAAAAGTAGAACACACTTACAGCAGAGACAAATAATAATTGTTTTTTACCTGTTTGGATTTCTGTGACCTTCCAGGTGTATTTTATAATTATTCACTGTCACCAGGGGGCAGCATTTTACCAGTGGATGTGCTCAGGTACTTTCAAACAAGAGCTGCTGTTTAACTTTTGGCATTTCTTTTTAGGTACTGCTGTTTCCTTTGTGCCAGGCTGCAATTATAAAAAGCCTCATTGAAGGTTACACTGACTCACTAAACCATCTTCGAGTTTAAAATGGTATAACACAAAAGTATAGCACAGCACTAGTTCTTATTAAGTGGGCATCTCTTCAACACAATACACACAAGTCAAAGTGGTTGTTCCTAAACATCAGTTGATAATCTCTTACTTTGGGTGGTTTTTACAGATATGAAACAATATTGTGTTAAAATGGAGAGTAGTTTTAAACAAAAAAATGCATTTCTTTGTTTAGGGATTTGATTGTTTCTTTTACCCTTTTCAAATGTTACAGTGTGTCCTGTGCAGGGGTGCCATGATATTTAAAACAAATACTGCCATGATGTTAATAATAGACATAAATCAGGGTTCCTTTTGCTCAAAATGAGCTTTTGGCAGTGACTTTTGATATTGATGCATGTAGTTAAGGCAAAAAGCCTGTTTTACCTGATTTAACAAACCTTTTCCTTTTATTGTATTTAAACTTAAATCAACTAAACTCAGCTTTAGAAAACTGATTTGCAACACACAATCCCCGTCTTTTGTGGACTCTAAAATATATATAATCATCTAAGAAAGGTGTTTTTCTGGCTACACTCCCTTACCCTACCTCCCTGCACTAATGTGCTGCAGAATTTTAGTGCAAGCAATTTGTCAAAATAAGACAAAACATCCAATAAATGAAGTTAAACTGAATTTTTCTATACAGATGTTTTTTGACCACTATATTCATATAGTGGCACCACTAGCCCTGAGTATTAGCTTACGAGCTTATGTTGCCACAGAGACATGACGCATTACCCTTTAATCTCTATTCATCAACTAAGAAGTTTCCTTCAGACAGCTTTATCGTTTTAGTCATCACACTGGTGTGTAGTGCGATGTGCCTGGGCTTGCAGCTCTATGATGTGAGACAGGTTTAGTGATGCAGGAGCATGAATCTCTGACATGCATTTCAAATTGAGGCTTCACGGCGGAAGCGGAGACCAACCCTGGAATGTAGTGAAGCCTAAATACACCTACATTGTTTACAAAGCTTTGGATTGAGCCAAGATATAGTTTCCACCTTGCGTAAGCACAATTAAGTGAATAAATGATTATGAGCTGTATCAAAAGGTCAAAACTAGACGGTTGACTCGAAGCGACCTTGTTTATTTTGACAACAACACACAGCCTTACTTGATTTTCAGGTGAAATAAATTATAATTTCGTTTAGAGATTTCAAGCTGGTGGGCATTACTTTAAAAGATTAAACATAACAAGAGTGCCAGCAGCAGCAGTAAAGGGGTCCTCCCCGCTGTCCAGCAGCAGCAGGAACACGGGTTAAAAAGTACCGGAGTCCCCGGCTTGTGGAGCAGGCCTCCCCGGTGAACCTGCCGCCCCCTGCCTCCAGCTCTAATCCGTTTCTCCCACTTTCTAGCAGAGCCCGGGGGGAATACATGCACAAGAAAAACAACTCGGAGAGGCTATTTACCTGCCCGTGGTGGGTCCGTTAAGGTGAGGACGAAGAGAAGAGAGAAGAGGACGAAACTGCTGCTGTCAGCTTTCGGCAACATTTATCCTCCATTCATAGTAACTCCTCTATCCAGAAATGTAAGATATATTCCGAGGATCTGCACCGCCGCCGCCCTTTCCGAAACTACACCGCGAAAAGCCGAACGCAATTTGTGCCCATTTTCACGCAGTCGGAGCGGCAGCTGAGGGAAGAAAACAGCGTGTGCACAAGCATAGTCGTACCGCTCAGCGACCAGGGTCGTGCTTCCGAGGGGCTAACGTTAGCTAGCTGAGCCGCTCTGCCGTTAACGTCCCGTCCCGCTGCTCGGTGCCGAGCGACTCTCATCCAAGATGGCCGCGGCCTCCCATCACAACAATCCCAAACATGCAGCGCGCACACACAGGCCATCAGCTGGAGGAGCCAGGGGCGGGGCTTACTGCGCGCGTGCGTGTGTGTTTGTGTGTGTGCTGAGGCCATTCAACTCTAAATATCGCTAGTTAAATAATTTCTTTGACTCAAGATAAAACTAAAAAGGCACAAGATGTACATCATACTATTATTATTATTATTATTATTATTATTATTATTATTATTATCATATCTGGGAAATAATAATAATATTTAACGTGAGAAAAGGGTTTTAAGACTAATGTATCGAATAAAACGTTCTAAATATAACTGTTATTCTTGTAAATTTAACTGATTGTATTTAGTATTGTCTTTTCTATTTTGTTGTAAATGTATTTAAAACAGTCAGTTCAGTTTAAAGCTGAAAATATTTACTTTCAGATAATTTGCACATATTTCAAGCTGTGTGCACATTTTATGTTTTCTTTTTAGAACTTCTTTTTAAAAAAAAAGAAAATTAAACTTTAGATAATTTATCCTGCAAAGTTATACAAACCTATGTCAATTCTGAAAGACTTTAAACCAAATAGTCTTTTTCAATAAAAAATTAAGGAAAAAAGCAGCTGAGAAAGAGTATAGTTTAACCCAACAACACTAAATCGTGCCAGACATTTGGAACATGTCTAGATGAAGTTTGTGGAATGCGGATGACAAACCTTGTCCTAAAGCTATTATGAATCTTACTTAAGTTTCCATTCAACCCCTCCAGCCGGTTGGGGCAGATGGCTACCTCTCCCTGCGCCTGATCCAAACAGAGGTCACTTCCTGATAAACTGGAGTTTTCCCACAATCATCTAGTGCTTGCTCACAGGGGATCATCTGACTGTTGAGGTTTTCTCCAAAACTACTGCAGAGTTTTTACCGTAAAGCACCTTGAGGCAACTGTTGTCGTGTTTTGGCGCTGTATAAATAAACTTGAATTGAACTGAAGAAGCTTACATTTAAAATAAATCACATTGTTTGTGCACTAGAAGACCTAATGATCAGTGGAATTATTCTTTCAGACAACACAGACAGTGAATGCAATCTCTTCCCACTTTAATACAACATCATTTAGTCAGTAGCTTATTAAAAAGGAGTAAATTCAGCTGAAACAATAATGATGTTTTATTATTCACCCTTACCTCTATCAAAAAATGATGGAGGTAAGAGGAAACAGGTGAGACCTTTGTACGAAAATAGCTGTATTGTCAGATGACACCTACTTATGGAAGCTCCTTTCCACCACTGAACAAAAAACCCAAAACTTTTTTTGCCATCTGTAATCAAAACTTTGAGATAGCAACTTAAAACGTTGACAAGCTTTCATAACTACTTGACTGAAGTTTCGTATTGGCTTTATTTATTTTAAATGTAAATATTGTCTCTGCCATGTCTTAGTGCTGTCCTGCACAAGAAAGGAATCTCTAACATTGGAAAAATATATTTTTTTTTAGTCAGGCCAATCATTCTTTAAATGGACATATGGACATGAAAAGTGTGTGGCAACTCTACACAAGCACCTTTTTCTTTGAGATAAAACATACTTAGATCAAATAAAATGTTAACTTTAACTAGGATGCACACAACTGACAGGGTGACACTTTAAATCTGTGGCAAGTTAAAAAAAAAAAAAAAAAGGGGCCTCTTTACCATCAGTTCTGACAGCAAACCAGACTGAAGGCAAACTGGAGCATTTGAAAACATAAAAGCATGACAGGTCTTTTTATTTGGACCCTGACCCAACTCCTTTAGCACCAACAGATGGGAGAACAAAACTATACGGCTGACAATTCATTATCTGATTGCAAACACAGATTTTAGCCCCAAAAAGTATATTTTACATTTAGAAAGTTTAGGAAAGGGTTCTACATCTTTATGATTGTGAGAGCAGGCTCAAGCTTTAATAAAACACATTTTCTTCTCCCATTTGGAAACACGGCAGCCGGAGATTCCTGTTCCTGTCCTGATTAATTCCTGTGAAGCAGAGAAACTCTGAAATGTCATCTCATTTATCTGTGAATTTTTTGGGAAAAACGTTCAATGACAATACAAATGATTTAAAATATGCAAATATTGTCTGTTGAGAATGTCAGTCTGTTAGAGTAGCAGGAGCTGTTTAAAAAGAACAAAAACCCTTGTATGCGAGATAAAGACAATAAAATCAAAATAGAATTCAGACATTCAAATTATTTCTCTTGGACCTACAATGACCTTTGTTGCATTTTAGTGCATAAAGTTTTTATAGTCTCTACTCCACCATTTATTTCTTTTTCCAGTCCTCCAGCAAAATGATGTGCTCTTTAATGTATATCTTAAGTCTTTTTTTTGTACAATCCAAGCAGAGAGGTGCTGCTCTTAGAAAAAGTCCGATGCTTTCCGTCTTTTGGGAAGCTGCAGCAGATTGTCTGTGAGCGACGTGACGTCCTGAGAATTTGGAGTCTTTGCTTTGTTTGGCGTTGGCGTTCCCGAAGGAGTCGCCGGGCCCCCGAAGGGAGACTTGCATGCAGCGAGTCTGTGTGAGGGTGATGGGGTGTAACTTGCTCGCAGTGCTTTGTCTGTGTATTTGCTGGAAGTCCGATTTACGAGCCGTTGCAGGGCAGGCGAAAGGGCCGGGCTCAAACCTTTAGGCGTCAGGCTGCAAGACAAAGAATATAATGTTAGTTTCATTTCTTCAAGACTTCACAACTTTAATTCTGGTAGAAATGAAATGACAGACGCAGTGAGCATCAATACCTTGCAAGGTTCTCTGTGACTTTTCGTAACGCTTCCTGTTTCTTTGCACGGTTCTTAGCGGCAGCCTCGTTGGCCATCTTTAAACCAAGCCTTTCTCGTCTCCCTGGTTCTGGGATCTTTAACAAAAGGTAATTAAAGTCAACTATTTTACTTAAACAATTACAAATTAACCATCAATCCACCTGTAAATTCTCAGCACCTTAAAAGAAGGTCCATGATTCCTCTCAACATACGGGGTGTCTGATCCATCCAGACGAAATGGTGTGCTCTCGATCTCACCCCAGGTCATCAGAGGTGACTCGGCTACACCTGAAAGGACAAATGCATTAAGAGATCTAGTGCCAAAGCAGCTCCAAGCTGATTGTGGAAACAGATACTTTGGTATTCATGTTTTATCTGCTGTCTATCAAATACCACAATCGCTAACAATGGGGGGGGGCTCTTGATTTTTGGCAGCAGGCGAAGCGAACAGACGAAACGTAGTCACATCACGTCTTTGATAAGGAAACAGTTCAATGTGGTAAACGTTTAATTCTTTAGCTGCCCCAGTCAGATAATGGAACAGGTCTGTTCTATGCAAAGCACAATAATAAGATTACTCACCAGGTGCAGGTGAAGGAGTTTTTACGTAACCATATCCATTCATTGATGGGGATTCATGTGGGATAAGCTCTTTCCCATCAGGACCTACTTTACCCTGTTTGAACTACAGAAACAACACAACACATGTTCTGCATCATCAAGAAATCCACTTTTTTGCCTCCCCTACCTCCATTTGAACAGACTGGCAGGCAGTGCAAGCACTTCATTCAGAAATAAGTGGCACATAAAGGCAACGACAGTCATTGTTTTAAATACAGTATCACATTAACAACACCTACCTGTGCATTGAGAGCTGCTGCCTGCTGAATCTGGCTCTTGTTGAGAGCTTTGCTGAATGGGTCTCCAACAAAGCGAGTGTTCTTGTGAACCACCTCCCTTGGTTTCTTGAAGATGGCATCATCATCTTTAACACCTGATTTTAAAAAAGGAAGAAAATAATAATAATTGTAGAACAAAATAAAAACCTCACTCACTGACACACACAAGTGAATTGAGCCAATTTTGCAAATTCACACAACATGACTATCGAAGCTCGAGCCTCCTACCCTCTGGATAATACATCAAGGCATTCTTGGCTTTGTACTCCCAGGTCTCCAGTCCAGCTTTGGTGCATTCGAGTGCTGCCTTCTCTACTGATGGTAAGGCAAGGTTCTGCTCATGACGCTGGAAAACAATCACAAGCTTTTATAAATTATTTGAATGCAGCCAAGAGGTAGGATCTATTAACACTCACCTAAGTCTATTTGGTGACTCAGTTTAGCATGTTTTAGGTGAGTGGTTTACTACTCGACAAGCCTGTTGCTCTTATTTTGAAAGACTGTGAAACAAAGACTCCTGTTAGGAGTCTATCTTTAGAATAAGGGACTCATACTCATCCTCTTCAACTCCGAACTCTTCTCAAAAGTTACACTACGTCACACTAGCGTTACCTGGTGGAGTGACTAAAGTTTATTTACATTTTTTTAATTTTTTTTCTTTTAAGGAGTTCTGCACAAGACTGTCTTGGTAAAAATCTTTATAAAAGCAATCTTCTGTTTGTACAGTAGCATCTGGGAAATATGTTCTTGTTTATTGGCAGCTGACAAAGCTTCTGGGTGCACTAATGTCACCTTCTGGTGGCACAAGTCTATTACGTCATACCAGACATGAGTTTCTTTTTTCTTTTTTTTAAAAAGAATGGAAAATGCTGTTTATCCTTTAAGACAAGAAACAGCTGCACAAAGTTTAAGCAATGTAACCGCTATTAAAGGGGGGAATAAATCCTGAGTATAATTTAATTAGTTAGTATATATACTAAGTGAATATATAATGCACCTCTACCAGAAGGAAGTGGTATTAATGGTCCTACAAACTGTTCGCTGACCACCATGCGATGAGCAAATAGAAGAAGCAACACATTAGCTTCCATTTGCTGGCAGATAAAAGGCGTGTGGCACATTCAGATGCGATGCTACTACATAAAACAGGGGAAACATGCAGAGCCAAAGAGGACTACAGCCTGAAAAACAAAACAAAAAAAATCTGGTTCACCGCAAACTCCACCAGGTAAAGCTAGAGTGAGCAATCTCAAAAAAACTGTTTCTAGTTTTTGGTGAATAACAACTCTAGTTTAAATGGTCATCCCTAACATACGTGCTCCACACCGCCACAAATTATGAGTTTAAGTCTGTGGGAAACTAATG